GCTTGGGATAGAAAGCTGATAGCCGAGTGCGAGTTCCTCCTTCACAGGGAACGTGAGGTTCTTGGCATTGACATAGCCTCTGAAGCTGCCACACCAATTGTGAAGTGCTCTTCACTTTCCAGGGCTTCTTCATCAAACCACCTTCTGGAGCACGGAGTCCGTAGGCACAACCATCAAAGACAGCCTCGAAACCTCCGTGTTGGTGCCAGAAGTTCTGGATGCACTGAAACTCCCAAGCCTTGTTGTACTTGGGCCATTCTTGAAAAACTTCTCCACCTTGCTGGATCTGGAGCTCCATGATGATCACTGCTCTGCTTGCCAGGCGCTTTGAGCGTTGAACCTTCTTTTCCACTTTGGCTCGACCTTCTTCGGTCAGCTTGTTGAGCTCTTGGATGCCAGAAGTTGGCCCACAAGGTAGCGATACCCATAGCACGTCGGGTTTATAGGTCTTCAGGAGCTGGATCACCTTGTTGAAGCCAGACTTCTTGTTGAGGTCGCAGTCGTTGAAGAGACCGCAACGAATTCCAAGGCCTCCTTGAGCTTCCAATGCAGTGGTGAGTCCACTGTCCTCTTCACAGCAGAGTTCCATGATCTTTGGAGGCTTCTTGACCTGATCCGCCATCAGGCTCATCATGATGTCCTCGCATCCTTGTTCATACTCTTCAGCCAGGGAGAGCAGGAAGGCGGTGTCGTCTTCGGTCAGCCTTCGGCCTTGGCCGGAGTCGTCACTGTCAGATGAGTGGGGCTGCTGACCTTTCTTCTTCCGCTTCTTGCTGCAGGCTGAAGCATCAGGCAAAATGCCTGGAGTTGGCAAAATGCCAGCATTGGTGAAACTGTTGCCCATTGGGATCCCCAGGTAGTACTCGTCCATCGTCTCCTTGGACTTGATCTTCGGCAGGTTGGGGTCCTTCATGGCAGGCTCTGTTGGTGCGGTAGATGATGAAAAACTGTTCGTAGCGCATGCAAAACTTGGTGAGGAACTCTTCAAAGAGGTAGTTCCTCCGGCTGGTGAAACATGAGATCCTTGGAGTCCGGGAGCTGCATTGACAATCTTCTTCACGTGGAACTGGGGCTCACCGGTGTCACTCTGCTCCATTCTTCCTCCTCTTCGTTCTCCGGCTGGGTGGCGATCTCGTACTCCTCTGCGGACTTCTCCGGTAGCCTCGCACTCTTCTTGCTGCCGGTGAGGGCCATGGTGTGGTCCTGAGCATACCCTGCCGTAGGTGGTGAAGGCGTCATAGGGCGTTCCGGGCTTTGGCCCTGCGAAGACTTCCCTGGGGAGACCTTGGTTGTCTCGGCCGCAAACTTGTCCTTGCGCTGCTGGGTTGACAGCCATTGCTCCTTCTGCTTGCGGATGGTCTCCATGCGTTTCTCCAGGGATCTTTCGGCTGCATCCAAGCCGATCTTCTTGTCCTTCAACTCGATGCTGCCCTTGTCCGGCTTCTTCTCCACCAACTGGGTCGTCGTGTCGGCCACAAGTGGTCCTGCTTGTCGAGTCAGGCCGTGTGCGCCGAAGGCCGGCGTGTAGCTCAGGCGAATCCCACACTCCGAGCATCCCACCCATGTTGCATGGGCGTTGCTGCCTGTGTTCGAGCCTCGTCCCGGCATCGCAGGAGTGTGTTCTCCATGGCATGGTGGTCCCGTGGCCCGGGGATCGTCCTTGTTGATCCCCTGTGTGCGGCTGTAGTCGAACCGCTCGGAAGCTGGTGCCACAGGCTTCTTCTTCTCCTTCGCCTTGGGCGCCATGGGCTCGTGAGGCGTCGTTCACGAGGGCGGTCAGGATGTCATCCCGCATCCCTTGATCAGCTTGTGCCAAAGGGCGTCGGAGGTGATCATGACGATCAAGCATGTAAGCAGCTTCAAGATCTTCACCTGACTCAAGACCTTCTGCCTCACTGCACTTCTCAACCACAAGAGCTTGTTCAAGGGTGTGTGGAGACTCAAAACTCATGCAAAGCTCTGGGTGCAGGTGGTCCAACATGTCGTGGGAAGCCTGAGAAGTGACATCTTCATGGTCCATGGGAAAGACTGCGCACAGAGGACTGCTCACCTTATATGCCGCACGAGGTCGTGGTGCATGTTGCTCCAAAGGCTGGCCCATGGTGAGCCAGTCAGTGCGAAGGTCAACAAGAAGATGTCCCGCCTTGCTCTTTCCAAGTGGGATCTTGAGGTCAGGTGCCACATTGGACAAAACCATCCAACGGCCGCTCACATCGATCACCGCTCCAAGGCGATCCAAAGTGCGCATGCCAATTAAGATCGGCACCTTCTCAGCGTCGAGGGTGAACATGCCAAGCATCACGCTGTTCTCGCCCAGCTTCTGAGGTACCAGTACAAAGGATTCGCTGTACTTGATGCCACCATTTCCAAAGCGAAAAGGTTTGACAGCATTCGGGCCGGTGAAGACTTTGATGCCTTCTTCCCATCCTTGAGCTTGATGTCGCTGCCACATCAACTTCTCCAGGGCCTCAAGGGATCCGACCGTCTCAGTGGCTCCCAGGTCCAGGACGCCATAGCCCGAGGTGTCACCAGTGATCACTTCATTCGTGGCCATGCCAATGAAGTCGAGGTCCAGCGGGCTTGGGGTCATGGCCTCCACCCAAAAGGTTCCTTTGCGAAAACCTTTTCCAGTCGTAGGTGAGCTGCTGGTGCTGCGCTTCGGGCAATTGCGGAAACCATGTGACTTGTCCCCGCAGATGAAGCATCCGGTCGAAGTTGCCTCAGCTGACAGCACTGTCTCATTGGCCATATTGGTGAAGAAGAGGAAATAGGTGAACGCCCCTTGCCTTTCTTGCCTTTAAATTTTCCTTTGCCCTTCTTGCCCTTGAGCAGGTGAGGTGGATAGAAGCCTCGGCTTTTGCCCTTTGCCCGTTGGAACTGCCTGCTCTGCAAGAAGGTCTTGGCCTTGTTCTCATAGACTGAGTAGGCCTCCTCAAGCTCTTTGTTCTCCTCGGCGGTCAAGTCGTCGAAGTAGCCATCATCGCAGGCCCAGAAGGCTCCATGGCCATCTGTCTCATACCACTCGCCGGACCAGTCCATGGTGTAGCCATGCCAACCATCGCCTTCACGAGTCCAGTAGATCTCAGGATCTTCCTCCAGAGAATTCTCCATGGGTCCAGGATCATATACTTCAGGAGGTAGTTGATGACCAACCCAATGCACTTCGGCAGTCAGTTCATCCATCGTGGTCTCGTCCTGGTTCACCAGAAGCCCCCCAGGAGCCAGCCTCTTCCACCCAGTAGGTGCGTCGCTTCGATGGATGTCTTGTAGAATCTGCCTGTAGTAGTTCTTCTTCTTGATCTCGAAGCGCCGTCTCGATGTCACGGAAGGTGAGGCTGTTCTGGACACTGGCCTGGACAGACAACCTGCTGGCTGCACTCAAGTTAGCTCGGCGTAGCAGTAGCCAGCCAAGGACTTCATCTGGCAGGACCTGGATGTCCTCAACTTCCAGTTCATCCCAAGGAAGATCTTCTCCAGGCGAGGAGGTGTCGTTGTCAGAGTCCTCCCAATGGCGTCGTTCACGTCGCCATTGTCGCCATTCTTCAGCTGTCCAGCCATCATCTTGGTGCCAGTGATCTTCATGAGGATCTTCTGGTGACGTTTGCTCTGCACCATCATCTCCGGTTTCATCTTGAGGTCGGGGATCTGGTGCGCGTCCCGTAGGCGATGAGGGTGATGCCTGAGAGACTGCTGCTGCTGCTCTGGTAGTAGGCGATGAGGGTGAAGTAGGTGGTCGGCTCGGTGGTTCAGCTTGAGGTTCTGACATGGCGCTCCCGGTCACAGGAGTTCCCAGTGTTGTCACAGGCGGTTTCTTCTGCTGTCGAGCCCTGACCAATGCCCTTTGTACCTTGCGGTAGGCCTGCAGGACATAGGATGACCATTGACTCATCGGCATTCCCAATGGTCTCCTCAACCTGATCAGCAGGTCCTCCAAGCGAGCTCCAGCATCAGGGACCGCTGTCCGGCATAGCCGGCTTTGCAAGAACTTCAGGAGATACTTGGTGCCGTTCTTCTTGCTCAGCTTGGAGTGTTCTAGGTCAGGGGTGACCGACCATGCACGGCCAGTCAACCTGGACGCAAGGTCAGGTGCCAGGTATTTCTTCTTTCGGTCAGGTGTCTTCTCCCATTGCAATCTGACCTTTCGGGCGTAGTCGCCCCAGGTGGTGGGATCTCCGTCCCATGTGACCACCACCTCTTTGGCCGAGATGGTTGCCATCGAGGATCTCCGTCAAGGAGTCGAGGATGTAGCCAGGCGCCGCGAGTAGAGCTCGAGGTCGAAGGGAGGTGCCCAGCCGCCGCCGCCAGGGAAGTTCGCGAGGAGGGGCTCAATGAAGTAGTGACTTTCCAAGGTCCCAGGAGATGGCAATCGCCAGAGCTCCGCTACCAATGTCGGTAGCCGTGTGACCTTTGAAGGTGAAAGGTTTCCAACCAAAACAAAGGCCACTCGCTCAGGTAGCAGTTGTTTTCCGCACACCAAGGCCCGTTCTCGGGCGTTGTCGTCGTTCGGCCTTTTCGGCCTCAAGTGCCACAGCTATGGCGGCACGTGCGCTCGGTAGCCGTAAGTGGCCTATCAAGGCCAGTGGCTGAAGGGTGCCCTTGAACCGGAAGGTTCACGGAAGTCGCACATGTCCCTCACTGACCGGAAGCGAAACACATATGTTTAGCTGAGTTGTTCACAGCGACCGAGGTCGAAGTCTTGAAGCGCGTCAGGAAGGAGGCACTTATTGTCTTTTGGTTCTTACCGTTTCGCGCCTATGGAAGCAAATGCACGAATGCTACCATGGGCCCCGATTACTCAGTGTAACCCCAGGATTCCGCTGGCTAACCATACGGTTTCCTGGAAACCCAAACCGCCCAAACAACCAGAATGCATGTTTCCACAATACCAGCCACCTTCCCATGTAAAGGATTTCAAGCAAACGGAACCAGCTTGAGCATTCGGTGCAGTGCTGGCTCTCACCCGGCTGGATCAACCTGGAACGTCGAGCATTGGGACCGGCCTCGTGAAGCTTCACCTTGGAACCCTCCTGGGTGGCTCAGGTCTGAAGCGCGTGGATGGGCTTCTGGCAAGACCCACACCAGAACGACATATGACTGTGAGTCAAAACGGAGTTGACCACCAAGAATCAACAGAATAGACTACCAAATGATGTCAATCTTCCATGGTCTGGGGGGATCCGCGTTGGCGGACTCGATCCAATTGTTTTTGCCCGCCTATTCTGCCCTTTCGTGTAGGACCGGGTGCAGAAGGGGGGTTTCGTAGACTACAATGAAGCCGATGTTCCCAACAATGGAAACACACATCAAAGAAAACTTGTCAATGCGAGAACACACACTCAATCGGTGCAGCTGAACGACATAGCAAAACGATAAATGTCTGCACTGCACTTTGATGGTATGAGACGAAATGTATCGCGCATGGGTAAGCCAACGCGTGTGTACTCAGGAATGAAGGTGGTAGTTTATTGTTCCGCACACGTTGGTTAGAAAATTTTGCGCTCCCCACTGGCACGGCGCCACGCAAACGCACTTCCCACCAAGGCCGCGCAAATCCGCATGGCACTGCAACATCACGAACGTAATTTCGCCACACGGCCTGCCCACACACCAGCAGCAAACATATCACATCATACCACCAATCATCCCGCTCACCAGCGACACGCCTCGTTTACGCCAGCATGTTTCGCGCTCCCAGTGGCACAGCACCATGCAAACGCACTTCCCACCAAGGCCGCGCAAATCTGCATGGCACTGCGACGTCATGAACGTAACTTCGCCACACGCTCTGCCCACACACTATAGCAGCAAACATGTCACATGATACCACCTATATCATCCCGCTCTCCAGCTCACCGCAGGGCCGCTCCTCATCGAGGTGAATCCCCATCCAAGCTCAAGATTACCTCTGCTTGCTGTAGTCCAATTCGGGCTCCCTTTGTCTGAGGAGTCGTGACTGGCGCTGTCATAGCCGCTTGCAGCCGCGCTACGACAGCTTGCTGAATTTCAATCGCATCCGTAAACAACCTCAGGTTGAGGATTCCGTTGCGAGCGACTCGTTGGTCCGCATCCTCGGTTGGCATTGGCGCCGCGAGCTGGTTGTCCGCTCCGCTGGCCTCCTTCCTTGCCTTTTCTCTTAGGAGGGCAAGATCGCTTTTGATCTGCGTTCCTCTCTGCATGCGAACCCACGCCCGGCGACCCGCTCGCATCGACTGAGGTCTGGCCCTCGTTCTTTTGAGCCAAAAGACGCGCATGGTAGGCCTGTACACAGCTCGCCTAACCTAGCGCTAGAAAACAAGGAAGCCTAGGCACCTGTACAGAGGACCTTTCACAGTAGTCTGCTGGGGGCCCGGCTCTAAACGAAGACTTAAAGACACATGTCTGACCTTAAAGTTTACGTTGATCTATTTTGAGCGCAGTCCCTACGGCATCAGCACGGAGACATGCTCAGGGTCCACATTAGTTAAATCCACCCAAATTGTGGAGGACAATGGTCTTCCTTTCGGATACGCCAATCCTTGGGCCCACCCTCCGTACCACCCACCTCAAAATGATATTCTAATATTTTGAGGTGGTTGGAGATATCAGCATCAAATTAATTCTGGACTTTCAAGGTCTGACAAAGAATTTCAAGAATGTCAGAATGTCAATTAAAAAACCGGCGAGAGACCCCAAACAGTGTGTGTGTGTGCGGTCTATAAGCAGAAAGTCTAGAGATCTAGACGCATTGGGGTCCAAAGGATGGTGGTGATGAAGGTGGGGATCGTGGTGACGGTGGCGATGGTGGTGAAGAAGTGAGTGAGTGAGTGAGTGAGTGAGTGAGTGAGTGAGTGAGAGAGTGAGAGAGTGAGAGTGAGAGTGTGAGTGTGAGTGAGAGTCGGAGTTTGAGCGAGTGTGACTGTGAGTGTGAGAGTGAGTGGCAAGTGAGAGTGAGAGTGGGTGAGTGAGTGAGAGTGAGAGTGAGTGTGAGTGCGCTGCGATGCCCTGAAGAATGCTTTGGAACGATCTTCACGGGGCTCCTCGACACGGCGTCACGGGGCTCTTCTTCGGTGAGGGGCTCCTCTTCTTCGATGGACTCTTCTTCTGCAATGGACTCTTCTTTCTTGGCAATGGATGCTTCATCCGTTTCTGGATGGCGACTGGTGGATGCTTCGTCCGTTGAATCACCACATGTAGACCTCGAGGATCTACTATACCTGGCTGCCCTTGGAATGATCTTGGGCTTGGCATCTGGAATCGAAGTCGAAGGTCGTGGCGTGTCCTCAGCTGGTGCATGGCTTGGCGGAAGAGGAGGAGGTCCTCTCCCGAGGGGCACGGTGAAAATCATGAGTCCGAGCCGGGGTCATCATAGAGACAACCTGGGTGTGTGAGTAATTTCAAGTCGTTGAGGTGGTTGGTCTCGAGCCTGGAGATTGTCTTGTACAAGGCCTCGCGTTCGTGAAAACTGGGGCGCGAAAAATTTCACTATTGCCCAACCCCCCACGATGTGGAGCGAAGCGGGCGTTGGTTCGACGACCGCGAAGGTTCGGGTTCGTCCTCCACCGCTTGCACTGGTGCTGCAGCCCGCGAAGGCGTCATGGCGCCAGGGCCCCCCGCCCTGAGCACCAGGTGGCCGCCTCTGGGGTCACCCACGCCTGGAACCCGCCCTGAAACTCCATTTTGCCTTTGCAAAACGAGCACTGCGGGCCAGGCAAAACTGCGGGCACATGCTTCAGGCTCAAAATTCAGCAACGAGCTGCAACCCTAAAATGCGCCATCCCCAATTTGGATCACTGAGTCTGGGATGGTCAAATTCAACAAAAAGAGTTTGCAACCTTGAAAGGCGTCATCCTTAATCTGGGTCACTGGATCTGGGACGGTCAATTCACCAACGAGCCGCAACCCCTCAAAGGCGCCATTCTCAATGTGAGTCATTGAATCTGGGATGGTCAAGTTCACCAACCAACTGCAACCCTCAAAGGCGCCACCCCCAATGTGGGTCACTGAATCTGGAACACCAACAAGCTGGAACCCCCAAAGGCGCCACCCCCAGTGCGGGCCATTAAATTTGGGATGGTCGAATTCACCAACAAGCCGCAACCCTGAAAGGCCACGCGCGCCATCCGCAACGTGGGTAATTGAAGTTCATCACCACGCTGCAACCCTGAAACACACCTTCCCCAATAAGGGTCATTGGGTCTGGGATGGTCAAGTTCACCAACAAAATGAAATAGCTTCTCTGAAGATGCAAAGCAGCCCGGAGCGCACCTGGAACCATGCAGGCCGAGCCGCTCCGGGGATCCTGCAAACGTAGGTGCGAGCAGGTATGGGGCACACAGGGTAGGAAATGTCTTTGTGGTTTATGGATCTGGGACGGTCAAGTTCACCAACGAGCCACAACCCCTCAAAGGCGCACAGCCAGCGCCTGCACCCTGTGTCCAAAGCGCGCACAGCCAGCTGACAGCACCCCGCACCAGCACCCAGCACCCACCAGCACCCAGCACCGGCGCCCACCCGCACCCTGTTTCCACCCCGCGCACAGCTAGGGACAGCACCCAGCACCACCAGCGGCAACCAGCCACACGCACAGCCAGCTCATTCTTATTTGAAATAAGAATTCCCATAGCTTCGCTATCTGGGGAACAATCTAGAAAGCTTCTTTGTTACTACTAAGAAAACAGAGACAGTCTAGAAAGCTTCTTCGTTGCTACTCAGAAAAAAAGACAATCTAGAAAGCTTCTTTGTTACTACTAAGAAAACAGAGACAATCTAGAAAGCTTCCTTGTTACTACCAGGTCACCGGGTCTGGGATGGTCAAGTTCGCCAACAAGCTGCAACACTGGTCTATTGCTCGGGGGTTCGTTGTAAAGAAGGCTCAGTGGGTCACTGGGTCTGGGATGGTCAAGTTCGCCAACAAGCTGCAACCTTAAAAGGCGCCATCCCCAATACCTGCAAGGCGCTGTCGCCCAGGTGGGTCCACTCCTCCCCATCCACAAAACGAGCGTCTCAAACAAGTTCACCGGGAGGAAAGAGAGAGAGAGAGAGAGAGAGAGGAAAGAAACAATTGGGGTCCTTGGCTTACCTGCGTGCCATCCCTATTGCGGGTCACTGAGTCAGGGACAACTAAGTTCACCAACAAGTTTGCGTCAACCCATCCAGGCTGCGCCACGCGACTTTTTAGTCAGAGTTGGCGTCCGAAGAGTGGACGCTGCTGCTGGAGGTGGAGCAGCAGTGCTCGGCCCAAAAAGCTCGAAGGTCCCGCAGCTCCACCTGATGGAGGGGCTGAAACATGAAAGGAACAATCCCGCAGCGGCTCAATGTTTGAGCAAATGCCCGTAGTTTTCCATTTCGCAATTCTACAAAAAGAGGGGAGGGAAACATAGGATATAGAAGGCCGCTTCCAAAATTCTCTTTGGGTGTTCGACTTTCGGCTTCACCTCTGGCCTCCTGGTCTGCCAAGGCCTCCTTTCTTGCCTCCGACATGACCACAGCAGCATCCCTCTCCTTGCTGGCTATTCTTTTTTTCAATCTACATAACTTACACTTGCCTTTGCCTGTGCAATGGCTTGGGGCCGCAAGTTGGAAGTAACCAATCGTGATTTCAATTGATACGCTTATAAGCACGCCTTCAACAGAAGACGCATATGTTGATTACGTGTAACAAACCACTGCAGAAACATTTGACATCCCCAAAACGGTGAAATCGTGTCGTCACGGATTGTCCTTCTCCGTGGCCGCCAACTTTCGTCGGAGCTGCGACTTAGTCGTAGACCCCGACGAAGAGGAAGACGAAGACGACGCCTACAGAAACGGGCGCTGGGCACATCGTTGAAGCTCAGAACGGTGGTTTGTTGGACTGCTGTCCGCCAACGATAGAAAGGGAACCTCTGAATAGATTTGCGATTGGCGTGACTTAGCCACGTATATCCCTTCAACACAGAGAGTGCACAGTGAAAGATACAAGATGTTTTGATATTCTTTCGAATGAATGAGAGAGAGAGAGAGAGAGAGCTGGCCGAAGTCCTCCCACTAAGGATTGGAGCAATCTGAACCCTTTTGCTAAATTCTGAAAAAGTTTTCACACCCACAGTCATCCTGTTGCGCCTTCGCTGGATGCTGTGGACTCCGGCTGCGCGCGGGGCCCTGTGGCCTGGTCGCGATTCCAGATCCACTCAGCCCCCAATGACGATGACGGAAGGAGACCGGCAGGTGCTATGTAAATACGACGTGTTCACAACCAAGGCTCGTGGTATTATCAAAAATCTGTTAGCTCAAAATATTTCTTTTGAAACCAATCACACTAGCACCATCGTGCCCATCAAGGCGTCCCACATCACTTCCGGCCCTCACGCCTCCTCTGCTTTGGCTTAGCCAAAGCAGTGCGCAGCCGCTGGTCGGCAGCATCGCTCCAGCACCGCAGTGGCAAACCCGCGCCCTTGCGCGCGTTTGCCACCGCGGCCCGGAGGTGAGCCAGCTCCAGTGGGCGGCGGGTCGGATGGACCTGTCCGTGCGCAGAAACCTGGCCTCTATGGTGCCAGCCTGGCTACCCATCCAAGGTGTCCGTCCTTCAAAAGTATCCTCTTTGTATGTTTGTTGATTTTTATGGGGGGTGGCTCAGGTTGGATGTCAATTCCATAGATTTTATTCAAGTCACATGTGTTGAAGAAGACCTCCAACCTTCCTCCAATCACTTTCAATTTAAACTGCTGGTGCCTCACACTGTTTCACAAATGAAGCAGTCTTGGGTAGAGTCTTGGGGGCCGAGGACTCAATAAAAGAAAAAGGCACGTAGTGCTGCTATAGGCTTTTTTACAAAACTATGTTAGGTATTTCGCAATTCTCACACCCGTGACGGAAATGCCACGTGTTCGACCAACGATTCGACGGCGGTTACTGGCTTAGGCCTCAGGCTTGCACTTGTTGTTTTTTGATGTTGATGTCAGACCTCTCAATTATATTTATGTTTCAATGCTGCTGTTTTTGTTTTTAGACGTTCCTCGCAAACTTATCCGTATACAGCCCCTTGATCTCTGTACAGCCGGGCATGGTTCCCCGCACGCCTCCAGGGCGCCTTCTTCGAAGAGCGCCATCAGGTCTTCCGCCTTTGGCGGAAGCCGGTCCTGCAAACACAACCGGATCAGGCTGAAGAGGAGAGGTGAGAGACACACCTTGTTTGCCTTGGGTTTTATTCGGCAACTTGCGTGTTTGAACAGGACTTCCATGGATAAATACCCGTGGCGGTTATTTGTTGAGGCGAAAGCCCCTGGGTAATCGCATGCATTGATTTCTCCCTGAGTGTTGCCATAGGGGTGGGCTCTCACTTGAACTTTTTCAGCCTTTCTCTTTTTTTCGCTCTTCTCTTTCAAAAAAAGAGACGCCTCTTTTGATCAATAAGAGGACTAGAACCAGAATGTTCACTATCGAGGCTCGATGAAGTGTCGTTGCATTCATGGCATGTGCGTGTGAGTGAGTGTGTGAATGAGAGTGAGTGAGTGTGAGTGAGAGGGAGTGTGTATGAGTGAGAGTGAGAGTGTGAGGGAGTGTGAGTGTGACTGTGACTGTGAGTGAGTGTGTGAGTGAGAGTGAGTGTGTGAGTGAGAGTGAGTGTGGATGAGAGTGATGGATATGAGTGAGTGTGTGAGTGAGAGGGGAGAGTGAGTGAGAGAGTGAGCATCTGAGAGCACAAAGTGCTGTGCCTGCCACGAAATCTGCATTTCGAGGTTCACCAAGTGCCGTGCCTGCCACGAAAACTGCACTTCGAGGCTCACCAAGTGCTGTGCCTGCCATCACCAAGTGCTTTGCCTGCCAGGAAATCTGCAGTCCGAGGTTCACAAAGTGCTGCGGCTGCCACGAAATCTGCGCGTCGAGGTTCATAAAGTGCTGCACCTGCCACGAAAAGTAAAACAGCTCCGATCCCTTGCACCTGTCACGACAAGTCGACTTTGGAGCACCAAAACACGAGGTTTCCCTTGCGCCTGCCACGAAAAGTGACCGCCGTGTACGAAAATGCACGCGGCACCACAACGAGAGCACAGTCGTTAGAAGCACCCGCCACGGACACCCAGATTCAGTGAGCCTGCGCAGTCGAAATGCACTTCGAGGATTTCGAGAGTCATGAATGTGCTGTAAATAGCAGCGAATTAGCCGGTCACGGCCGCGCGCTTTTCCCCTACCGCAAGAACCCCTAGTGTGTCCACACTGTTTGGGGAACAAAACAACAAATCCAACATAGATCCGACATGAGACCATCTATAGGTGGGACCCACCCCCCCCAATAAGTTGACCAAAGTTGAGTCAGCTCGGATTACCGCGGACAGTGTCATCATGGAAGTTGTTCGGATTACCGCGGATGTCATTTTGTGGGGGGGGACCGTATATTTTGTTTCGACTACGTAGGGGGTCTTGTTGCACTATGTCTTTCAGACTGCTTCTTGCAGCAGATCCTAAGTCGTTATCATCAACTAAGGTATCTCGTCTGTGTAGGGGCCCAATCTCATTCACCAGCGATTTAACCAACCAATACAGTAGCGCATGTCACAGACTACGACTACTTTTAGCAGAGACCAAATTCTAGTGGTTGCTCTCATTGTGTTCCGGAGTCGTTGGGTACTCAGACGTAGACCCAACTGTGCCACAACTAACTCTACGACTCCTTTCATCCGTCTCACTGGCTGCGTCAGGTGATGCCGCTGGCGGGACTTGCGGAGAACGCGTCTCCCCCGTCCCCGCTGGGCCCTCCAAGCCGACTTGGAGCTGGGATGATGCCGGTACGAGTTGGGGAAGCCCTCGGCCGGTGGTACGGTGGTGATCGTGCCCCAACTGGTGGGGTTTTCAGTGAACCGCGACTCTGAACATGCCAAAGGTCCCGGACGTCCCGCGTCCCGCTGTAGTGTTCTTGGAGGTTGGAAGGTTGGAAGATGGATGAACATGGAAACGTTTCAGACTGGGAGACTCAAGATGGTTCCTTATGGTTCCTTCTTGTGTGATTGGAGGGTGGTTGGATTGAGAAGAAACCGGGAGCCCGACAACAAAGGACGATGTCATGGTACTGCTGGGAGCTGAGTAGAGCTGAGTAGAGCGGTTCAAGCTGGTTCGTTCGCTGGGCTCGTTCCCTCCATCCGATGAACTCTGAGAAGGAACGGAGCCTCCAACACCTCCAACACTGGAGGGCACAAAAACCTTTTTGTTTAATATGTTTGAGAGGGTATCTGGGTCCCTAATAATAGAGACTAGTGACTAGAACATACTTAGTTTAAACAATAGGGACTATAATGGACTATAAGAACATATTTATTTTAAACAACACACACTGATATGGCAGCATTCGAACGCTACACAAATCAGTGAAACTTGGTCGTCGTTTCAAAGATATGAATCTGATTGATGCCTCAGCAACGTCACATCCGCAAAGAGACACTAAGTTTCTTCATAGCAATCACACGCACAAACACAAAAGAACATGTTGGATTCAACATCAAGCCTATACATGGCCGCACTGCCCAAACAAACCCAGAAAAGGCATGCACCGCCCCAAACCGATCCACCAGCGAACGACCACCAGAAGCAACGAGCAAGACCAGCGATGGATCCTGGGACTCCCAAGCCGATCCGGTGGCAGGTAACTCGCTCTCAATGTGACCTCGCACTGGAGCTGCAACTGCCAGGAAGATCGGATCCCGCATTCAACAAAAGGGAGATCATATATGGAGGGTGCTCGTTTCCTCAGCATTCCCTCTACCAAGACGCTTCGAATGATTTCAACCTGTTTTCTCAGTGGTGGAGTACGCAAAGTCATGCCGTCGTCCAAAATCTGCCTACAGGGCCCTGGATGACCCCGTATTAAACAACAACACAACAATTCTCCTCTCACACCCCACACCTTTTCCAACGCGGAGGGTCCCACACCCCGACACCTTCGGGACAAACAAACTTAAAAACTATACCCAAACACTCCATGGGACTGCCATATATGCCTACATTGGGGTGGTTTTCCCTTGGGATCAACGCTACTGGTCACGGCCCTCACCCGATTGTGCCTGGTCTCAACCACCGGTGGTGTCGCACCGTACCGGCAGCTGCCCGCTCCTGTCGTCTAGGATCATCACGTGAAAAGGACGGACGGACTATTAAGGAGGTCAACCTATGCTGGTTTGGGGATATGTGTTTTGACCCACAGCCATATGGAGGTCTCTGTGAGTTTGGACCTTCCAAAAGGGAGGATTCCTCACCTTCGGCGCACTGCTCGTTCGTGCCACTGCATGCTAGCTGGTTTTGGACTGCAGGGAAGTACCAGAACAGTGACCCAAAAGCGTACGTTCGCACCTGCATGGCTATGAACACCTCAATCATGAATCCATGTGGGTGCCCCTCTGATGACCCCCGGAAAAACCACAAACACATCATGTTTGCTTGAACTACTGCCTATCTTCCCCCCTTGGTTTCCATCACCTCAAGCCTCAAGACATCCAACGCATATGGTGTGTTTTCTGGAGAACGATGCCCTCCAAACTTGTAGACGAAACAACACATATTCGGACAAAACTTTGGATGAAACTTGCCAGGACGATGCCATGAAACCCTTCCGCTTCCAAGAACAAGAACACCTTGCGGAGCGAACGACCCCTTCAGAGTCCCTTCGGCATCTCCTCCCCAACCGGAACCTTCGCATCGCATCGGACGTCGCCGTCGCAGTCGTCGCGCGCTGTTTCACCGTCGTTGCTCCAAACCGTCCTCGGGATCCGCCAACATCAGGCGGATGAAGTGGGCAGGCCTCGGGGGCCGACGCGCCGATGAGGTCACCAATCAACAAACCGTGTTGCTCATGCCACAAGCTGTAGTTCTCATCTGGATCCAACTTTTTGCAGCTCAAGCTTCAGATCACGCTGAAGAGGGGGGGGGAAAACGGCTTGTTCAAGTCCGGCGGGATGGAGAGGTACGGGCCGGTGCCGGTGGCCAGAGCGGGGCGATGAACACACAAAGCGGATGGCAATGGCCTCTGAAAAACACTTTCCTCGTTCTTTGCTTCCATGTTGGTGCCCTTCAATGTATCCTCTTGCGCATCCCAATAATTTGAACAAACCACTACACAGGGCACAGGTTTGAGTAGATGGTGGGTTGGGTCTTTCACCACTTAAACAATGCCACAACAGGAAGGGCATTGGACGAAGCGGTTTGGAGTGCCCTGCTTTTGGGTGCATTGATCTGCAAGCATTTATTTTGGTAGCCTTGACATGCCTTGCTGGTAAAACAGGCACAACATCTACTGTAAAACACAAATTGCCCGGCTGTCCAAGCTGTTGAATGTCAAGGTTCGTCAGGAGTCGTCTCCGAGCGGCTCACCTTTGTTTGAACAGAACTCCCCAAACTTAAGCAACTTGAGTCTAATGGGCCTGCAACAAACTGTAGATATGCGCAGTTCCTACCAGAACCGTCCAAAGGGTGTACAATGGAGACCGTCCAAAGGGTGTATAGAGTACATGTCCATTGGATAATATTTGTGACGGTTGTTCCTTTCGTTGGAAACATTCCAGATTCATATAACAACATAATTCACGTTCTACATCTTTCTACCATGTGTTGTACAGTCTACTGTAAATGTCGAGGTCCTGTTTCCGTTTCCGAATTCCGTCCCTTTGTCTGCAATCCTTTTCCGCTGGAAACAACCCAACCGGTCCTGATTTTTTTGGCAACTTAGGCACAGGAAACCTTCATGTCCAGGAGTATCCCAATAAAAGACTGATGCGAAGCAGATCCACCGTGTCGGAAAGCTGGCTCAGTGCCGAACAGCTCAGCTGCGTCAAAGGGAAACAACAAGTACCTGCCACCGTTCGCTGGGTGGAGAGCAAGCTGCCCCAGCTGGGCACTCAGCTCGACCCCCGAAGCCGCGCTTCGCCCGTCAGTTGCCCAGCCGTCAATCCTTGGGGTATCTTGGATGGTGAGGGTTCGGGGAGCCACGTCAGACGTCATCCCAAATTGGCGTCCGTTCGATGGCTTTCCTGAAGGGAAACAACATCCAAAGGACCAGTTCTCATAGCTTCAAGAAGCCTGGATGACCCTAACATGGCCCACGAGCATCACAAAACCTTCTCCATTTCATCATCACCTGAGTCAGTGTGTACGTTATCAGAATCACTAAGACTATATAGAGGACGAACCAAGATTCACGGCAGCTCGCCCCAGCATCACACAGCTTAAACTAGCGCTATTCCGGCTCTTCCATCCATGGATTTTGAACATCCGTTTCAATCCAACATCTTGGACAAGAGCCAGAATACAGCAACTCTTACTTCGAACTCAAGTACAGGACTGCACCCTCAGAATGCACCTAAGAGAGAAAGGTCAGATGTATGCATGCCAACACATCGACCTGTGCATCCACCTTGCCAGACCTTTCCGCCCCTCGTGACCAGGGAGATATCCTCTCCAGTCCTCTCCCCTCAAAACCGCGTGACAGGCTTCGGTTTGGTTCGCTTCAGCCGCTGCCTCTGCCAGTTCCGGACCATCTCTTCAATGCGATCCACATTGGCCTCAGCGGCCCCATGCCACGCGTGTTGCTGCGGATATGGGGGTCGACGATCAAAAAAGGCAAACAAACATGTCAAGAGATGTATGGATGATGGGTGTGCTGAAGAAGAGATTCAAGGTCAACAACAAAGACGTTCAAAGAATTGGCACCACAGCAAAATGAAAACGGGAGCTCAACAACGCTCACTTGGGTACCACTAATTTATCCTGACAAGCTTTCAGATGTTTCAGCATCCGGACTGGGCAACTTTTGGAAGGGTTCAACGACCTTTTGGAAAAGCCACATCACTCTCACCAAAGGCTCAAAGGAGTCCTCTCCTTGCAAAAGGCTCTCGTCCAAGTACCGATTTTTTCATGCAAGAACACCGCGGTGGGGTGCCCCTCTCGGCTCGCGAAGCCCGCGACGTGGAGAACCGCGACCGTGCGGTGTCGTGTGCCATCCACGTCCGAGTGGCATCGTTGAAAGGCCGGTAGCCATAGAGTGCCTCGTAGGTGATGATTCCCACACTCCTCGCAGAACCGCCGAACCGCCGAAGCGCCTTCACGCCGCGGCGCGCGGCCCCGCAACGCACGTCAACGACGGAGGTTCTTGTGTCTGCACCGCGATCCCGAGGAGGGAATGTAATTAGTGAGCTGAGTGGAAGCAACTGGAAGTGGCTAGTGGAAGTGGCTAACGAACCCATTTTGAACAAAGAATGGATAGTGTATGATAGTGTGACTGCTTCTTTGACTGGATCCCAAAGCTATCTGGGTGGCTGAAAAGAACGTTCAAACATGTTCAACCTGCGAAACGCCCGAACAAGCCAAAGCTGGGTCCAACCGGTACAGCGGTCAGCCCAGCGGGCAGCCCGGACATGGGCAGCTGTAGAGTTTTCATGTTGGTTGCTCCCAAACTTCAGCAAGTCTCCGAGTATGCCACCCTGGATTGCGATTCACGCCAGCACGATCGGACAGAATAGCCCTACGCGAGCACTGATCCCCGAGGTCCAAAAGGAATCCAGGTGGCATTGTCTGACGTTCAACAGCATTGGCTGGACACTTTGCCAAGGATGGGCAACAGCTGACCTTGGACCTCTATCTGGCCAAACGTTTGTGGACGAATGGAGAGGGAGGATGTCTGAGAGTGACCACGTTGAGATGACTGGAAAGGTGAGGCGGCTGGTAGAGAAACGGACGCTTGGAAGAACGAAAGAAATCTGGTGAAAGAAATGACGGTCCCACCGAGCTTGAAATGGATCCGACTGTGGGTTGAGAATCCCAGGATATTGCAGGTAACCCATGAATCACGGGAATCTGCCAAAACGTGATCGACTTTGATCCCGCCATCCTGAGGACCTAGAAGTGGGCTTGAAGGCCATTGGTGCCTTCGAGGCAAGCACTGCTGGGTTCTAGGCAAACCACTTGTATCCTCTCAAGTCCCTTTTCTCAACCCCAAGCCACAAGCCCTGCCCAAGCCCTTGCCGCTCCAGATGTCAGCCAGCTCATTGTAGGAGCCCTTAAAGACCTGAACAAACCGCAGGTCCGAACTGGAGCTCTGTCTGTCCAAAAGAAGCTGGATTAAACAGGGTGAACCTTATTTTGAGTCAAAAAAACACATATGCAGAAAAAAACATGCTAGTAGATGCTACTAGCCTACTAGTAATTCTGCAGCTATATAGTTCTTCAAAGTTCCCTATCGCTCCACAGAGTCCCCCCAAAAAAAACAAACAACCCGAGTATTCTTTGTGGTTCCTCTTGGAAGCCCCACATGTAAGCCATTGTTTCAACAAGTAGCGAAGGCCTTGGACAAGCTCTTTGCTACGTGGCATGAGGACACGCTAGTAGCGTTAGTGAGTGGTCACATGGGGAGGTGGCTGCAACTGGACTCCTGAGGTATCGCTCCAGGCATCGTTGGGTATTGGTATTGGTTTGGGTATCACTCTAAAGACCTTGGCGTCCAAATCGGGAATTTGCATCTTCCTGGAACAGAAGTGGACAAGCTGCCTCTTCTTAGCCATTCTGTTCCTAAGTCCTGAACAGCTTTGTGCCAAAACAGGCCCGCGACTTGATAGTTTGGAAACGCGTTGGAAGAATGGTGCTGGTATCGCTCTTCAGAGTTCCGTATCGCTCTCGCTACACACAGCAATGGCAGGGTTTTACAAAGTTCATGGCGGTTCACCGCTAAATCTCTTGATAACACGTTCTGGCCCTTGCTCACATAGCCAGATCAAGATTGGAAGGGTGAGCTTTCAAGCAGTCATGTATTGTGCATGTATTGAGCTGAAAAAAGGTATCATGAGCAATAAACCGTTCAACCTATTGTTGGCTTGTCTGGGGTGAAAAAACTGCTGCACTGTGTGCACCTTGCGTTCTTCCATCGTATTCACCGAAGCGAGTTCACCGGGTCGCTTCCCACCTCCGGCGCCATGTTCTCCACGGTACCAATGACCTGTGTGGATCGGGCGAGGAGAACCGGTGGCTGAAGTAGAGGACTGGAGGAAGCAAGGCAGATCGAGGAGGAAGGCCATACCTGGACAATTCCGGTTCATGGACACCCCGAAAAAGCTCCAAGGAGCCAATTATTTAATCTATTACATCATGTTTATATTGTTTATATTATAGACACCCCAGGACACCCCGAAACAGGTGGTTTTAGTAATGATGGGCTACAAAACTTCCTGGATCCAGTGCAAATATCCAAAACCAACATGATTTGTGATTTCCCTATGTCTATCAGTGTGGTCAACTCCAAAACATGTTATTTCTTCCCTCTAACAACATCCTCCACCTGACCTTCCAACTATACAAACCAACAATTTCTGGTCCCTTTGGTTCTGTGGTCGCGGTTGTTTCCTGGTTTTTGTGGATGTGTTTTGCACTCATTGGCGGTGTACTGATTTGCGGAGCATATATACTTTGGGACGTTGGAAGATCCAGGCAGAAAGAACCGGAAAACGAACTGACCATTCGAGCATAGGTGAAATCAGCAAAGCTTTTCAGCCAAAGCAACTCTCATCTCACCAAAGCCTCTGAAACCGGAGCCCAACAGGATGGTCTAACATGGCGGACCCCACCAGGAGACCGGTGACAAACCGAGCAGGTTGGTCTTGGCCGCTTTCACGACCCATCCCCACCTGCACTGCGACCCTATAGAAATCCAGTCATACCTTCTCAGAAGGTATGACTGGACCCCTGGACCCTATAGCACCCATCAACCCAAAACACACACCTTCTCACCGACTGGGATCCACTCCGCTCCGCCGCTCTCGCCTCGGAGAGCCCGCCGCAGCCGACCTCCACGGCCACGTCGAAGTCCAGGAGCTGCGGTTCCGGTGGCGGCCGCGGAGGGGAGCGGAGTCTCAACAGGTTGAGGAATGTCTCAAACACAGACTGCTCAAAACACCCAAACTTGGGGACATTAACTAGACGTAAAGACGTAAAGGACAACAGGGCACCACCTGGTTGCAGGCGTTTTCTTTTTTTTTGCAGGGTATTGTGCATGTTTTGGAGACTGTGGCACAAGTCTCTCTTTTGGGTCACCATTTTCTCTAAGGGTACTTTGGGTCGAGGTACATGAAAAGGTCCAACAGATCAAATCCATGCTGCAAATCCCCGCGGAAAGACCGGCTTTTCTGCAGTAGAACGCGCCAGGTCTCCTGTGGGTGTGGAGTAAAAGTAGGGAGACCTCCCAGGCAACGACCCCATAGCAGGAAGGGAAGACTGGGTCTACCCATTGGTTTGGGATCTCCCGCTATTTAAACCAAAACCATGTGGGGTGGATTAGGACGGTGCATCCGGCCCTGCTGGCTCTCCGACTTGCTTTCGACCTCACACGGCCTAGGCCACGACACCGCACGACACTGCGCCTTCACCGTGCAGTCGCGATAGCCTGTGGGAGCATCGAAGGATGGCGATGGATGGGACAGATATCACTCCAGTGCGCAGAAGGCCTCTTCAATCTATACTCAGAGGACTCAAAGGCTCATAGACTATCCATGGGGTGCACACACATATCTGATTGTGAGATCGGGATTGCCAAACACTTTACAACTGCTCCAAACTCAGTCGTTTTGGGCTTCTTCAGAGTCAGTTCCGTCCCGCTTTCTGTCCCGCTTTCGTTCTTCTCCGCTCACACCAGACCCTTCAAAGGCGAGACATCAGGGACCTCGCAAGGTGGGATGAAGGGTGACCTGCTGACCTGACACCATTGAAGTCCACCTGCAGAACACAGTCTCTTCCAAACCGGGACAGGCTGCTTTCGGTTCCTGTTGTCCACAAACCGGGACAGGCATCTATGAGTATAATAGGACTGGAAATCAAATTCAACTATGGCATACTATGGCCATTTCCTCTGCATGCATGTGTGTGTCCATGCAAGGTCTCAGGTCTCGGTATGAGTACTGCCTGCTGGCATGGTGCTTGGGTGAAGATGCTGACAGCTATGACCAAAGAAGAACACCCTGACAGCTATTATGGCTATGACCAAAAAGAACGATCTCACTCTGTTGTGTAGAAACGAACCCCTCTTCGCTTCAACCAAACCTGCCGCGCACACCGCGGCGCGCGCGGGCGGATGGTAGAACCTCCGTCGTCCGTGCCCAAACCCGATCCGGGCGAAAGAAACGGTGCCGAGCGCGGCACCCCAACTGGAGAGCTCACAGCCCAGGCCAATGTTCTCCGCCTCCCGAAAGACGACGGTTCTTTTTTTTTGCCCGCGGCGGGTGTGGAGGTTGGGAAGGAAGCAGAACCGGTGTGGCTGGAGTTAGATAGATTCAGATGGGACAAAGTAGAGTGGCTGGAGGTGAGATTGTTGACAAAGCTTAGTGCGATAGTCAGTTTGGGGTGAGGATTGCAGATGTGTTGTGCTTTTCTCTTGAAACAATTCATTGCAAACATCTCTACCGAATGTTCGAGTAGATGAGTAGATTCACACAGGCCCAGAGGAATCACCAAAAAGGTTTTGCATAATTACCCCTTTCAGAGCCCTGTGTATTCGCTGGGACTGTGCCGCGTTGACATGCACAGATTCCGCGGCTGCCTTTCAGGGCCTTCGGGATGGTGAAACACCTGGTGTTGCTGGAAAAAAAAAAACACATATGTGGGTTCTATCCAACAAAACACCGCAACTTCGGCCAAGTAGGTGGCAAGTATAAACCCCATCACATGTTGTTATCAAAAGACATGTTCGTCCGAAGGTCCACCCATCTCGCTGACCCGCCGGCTCCGTCTTCCTGATCCTTTGGGGGGGGCCCAATATAAAAACCAACGCTAAGAAGTTGTGAAGTAAAAAGAGGTCTCACAAAAAATCATGGTATTATACCTGATATAATAGGGATTCACCCATAGGGATAGTAAAACATCACCTTAAGCAAAGCCAGGCGGACTGGTATATTATAACCTCTTTAAACCAATCAGACTCTTGAAGCGGTCGTCCGACGTACGTCCGACGGTCCGCGAATCGATGGGAGCAAAGCCGGAGCCTTCACGTCGCGATGCATCCACCCACTTTGGTGCATGTCCTGCAAACCTGACGACGGCAACTTCCAGCATGCAACAGCTCGAGCAGTTCACGGAAAGGGGCAGGATTAGACTCCCAAACTCATAATATGCACCCTGACAACCTGCCAATAGAAGATTGCTTGCCACCAACCAAGTGATGCTTTCAGGGTTATGGGTCCAGTCTTCGTCCAGTCTTCCGGGGAGTATGGCTTCTTTGTTTCTGGCCTCAGCTGTTAACTCTGGAGACCATTGTCTCATCTGACAACCAAACCCTGGGGTCCTGATCGATGTCCAGCGCTGCGTCCCGTGCTGCGAGTGAGTTGTGCAACCGAGGTGTGTGGATTTGGCAAACCTCCCTCTACCATCCGCATACCCCCCCCCCGCATGCCCCCGCAGGCTGACGTCCCAAGCCTTTGCATGAGTGATCCACCGAGACGCAGTCTGCGACAACGCCAACCAACCAATGCAGTCTGCGACAGTCTGACCTTCAAGGACTTGTCCCACCACATAGCGGACCACGTCCTGCGCGGAGCGGCTCTGTCCAACCAGCGCTGGGGCGATGCTTTCACGTGTACGAGTCATAGATACGAGTACCTAGAGCACAGGTGCATCCGCTGCGTTGATAGGAAAGGACCATATTTCGTGTGGTTGGTGATCCAAAATAGAGGTCACTCAGGTTCAATTCATACCACGTGCCGAATAGGAGACTTTGTCGCAATGATGCACGTGCCTTTTGGGGGGAGATCGCGTGCATTGCAAACCACCGTGTGTTTCACATGTGCGGGGTTTTCGTTCGGTTTTACTGTTGTACCCAGAAAGGTGTGATTGGTTGGTGTGTATTTTAATAGGGATCTCCAACCAGTAATGTGTTTTTGATTTTTTGGTCTATGTTTCTTCCACGAGCTCTGCCTATTTTAATGCACCTGTAAAGAGGAGCGCGAGTTCAACATGGAAGCCAACAGAATCGAGACCATGCAAACTGAGTAGGCAAAGTGCCGGTTTAACTAAGTAGGACTGGAGCTGAGGAAACACGCATATGTGTTTTGCAGGGAAATTTGTTGCACTGCAATAGAATATATATATATATATTTATTGATTAATATTATATATATATAATAATTTGATTTAATTTATAATTTATATATATCCTAAGGAATCGAGAACCCTCAAAGAACCCTCAAAGCTGAAGGTTTTGAGGGTCCAATCCCCTGCTATGCAGGGTCAAAACCCTCCATAGGAAGGTCCAATGATTCTTATTGGTAAGTTATATAAACCTTGTAATTAACCTTATACCGTACATATCATCCTACAGGTCAGGGACTGACCTCCGTTTTCTGGAGTTGATCATACCAAAAATACATTAACAAAAACTACAAAGATGTTCGGATTGGCTGGGACCAGGGACCAGGATCTGGTGTTCAATGGTTTCAGACCGAACCTGTAGAGCGATGCTGGTTTAACCCCCCGTTCGCCCATGTCTTACAGAAGGTCACCGCAGCCCGGAACGATTCTCTCCTCAGACACCCGTCCAGGCGGTCGGGCCTGGGCGTGAGCGGGTGATTCGTCGAAAGCGTTCAGATCAAAGAGTTGGAGAACATCATGATCATCATATAGTACACGTGGGAATTTTTTTACATTCTAACTGACTGTCCCACACTGTAGTATGTTACATATCCAATTCTTTCTAAGGTGTTTTCCCACCATGACGTGCAAACCTTTGATGTTTGGCTTCCACAATGGTGCCTTAGAATCGGACGGAGCCTTTGACGTGTCCTCTCTAAAACGGAACGTCGATGCTCCCTTAGGAGCCTTCAGAATTCTGGCCATTCTGCACCGGTTTGAGAGAATCTGAGTAGCAGTATATAAAGTATACCAAGATATGGGCAACTTCCGTGCTCAGGAACCTCCATGTGGGTCAAAGCTGCTGCTTCTCTACACCTCTTACTGACGCACCCTGTACGGCCTGGTTCTTGCAGTTGGAGCAAACAAATCTCTGACATGTTGGAAAAACTATGAAAAAAACTAGACATGGTCAGGTGTGACCTGTGTAATCTTTTGAGCCTCTGACTGCAAGACTAGACCAAGCAAATTCACAACCACGATAGTTTGGAGCATCAACAAAAAGGAATGAACCAGAACTAGACTATACCTCTAAACTTGTCGCAACATTTTGGGTGCCATGCCCCCCTACATATGACGCCTACACTACACCTACAGAGTTCTTCCTTGCTTCACCTCATGTACTTGTAAGTGGAGGAGGATAATGTATAACTAATTCCAATTCAAGCAACCAATAATTCACTGAGTTGGTCCCCGGCAGTGGCAACAAACTTGGCATCAACTCGGTTTTTTTCCCACACTGACCACCACATGACCAGCTCACCAACCACCTCGCTCCCTCCACGTGACCACCTTGCGTCCCCGGGGCCCGTAGGTAGGATCGAAAGGATCCACCCTCCATGCACTCCAGTCGGGCCAACACCTGCGGCGACTCAAATCACAACCCGAGCATCCGTCGTCGGTTGTTTTGCATCGTGGCAGATGACAGGCCATTGAAGGGTGTTCTTCGTCGGTGCTGAACGTGGTTCAGGCCTAGTTCATCACGGAACTCGTATCGTTCTTGCTCTTGTTCTAACAGGCGTAACATCTTACACATTTATGTAAAGATGCGTTCAAGGTGTTGATTGGAGGTGTTGCTGCTTTTGTTGGTCTGTGTCCATGACATACAAACACTGAGAGTTTGGTGAATGAGACTCCCGTGGCTTGCTTTCCAGTAACAATTTGTTGTATTTTCCCACGAACAGCAGGTCAAGTACTGGTGGGCCTCTCTAGTAGAGGTGCACGTGGCTATGTGTGCTCACTCTTGGTTACTTGCATAGAGGTCCCCAAATGGGTAGAAACGATGTCCAATACATGATTAAAGCAGGGGATTATCCTTTTAATCCATCTGTTTTCGGGTGACTATATACGCATTTGATTAGGATCCAGGATCATCCAAAATAGTTGCACCCAAAATAGTTGCAGGCAGGACTCTGGAAACTTGACAGAACCCCTCAATCAATGGTGATGACATCCGATGACATCTACCGATCGTAAAACGAAATGTGATGCTGGAACACGTATGAACCCAATCCAACCAATCCAACATAACTCACCAGAACCATGCCGGAAGGAGAACACATCAAACCAATTGGTTCCCTCACTGCCTGACCGCTGCAGAGGAAGATCTCTTCCAGTTCCACAATGTTCCTATCCGGAGAAGTGCGAGGGCTCCCTGCTTGTCAAAAACATGGAGACAAAAGGGGAAAAACATGGAAAACAACACCATGCTGTACTCTTTCTGGACATCCAGAAACTTCATTGTCCATTTCAGTAAGTTGGGTGGCAAACAGCAAACTCCTGAGCACATGCCTGGTTAGAAAGTGGCTACCTTAATAAAGCCAAAGAAGAACTTTCTGAGCAAAACAAGCAGGTTCCAGTCCTGAACAAGCCAAGCATTTTCGAGATGTTAACAAGTCTTGCATATCGGTCCTCTAGTGCGATCACTTCGAAGACTCGGGCCCCGTTCCGTATTGACTACACATCAACATGAGTGCCGGATGGAGGGAATGGAGACCGGGATGAAGTGGCGTGCAAACCAAACGTTGGTTCCAACCTTGGGGGGGTTCTGTCAACACCGGGGGACCCTGGTTGACCGTCAAATGAACCGAATAGAGTACCTGGGAGGTCAACCTACGGTTATTGAGGGCTCCGGGTGCCATGGTTGGCCACCTGACAGCTTCGGTCGTGGATGACCAATTCGCCTAGTCCGACATCCTATCCTGCCTACCAGTCGCACCGTTCACCGAAGCTGGACTTGCTTCGAATGGGCACTGTAAAGGACCCCTCCAAGTAAGCCTTACGACACCAATCCACGTATTTTCGCAAAGCCGTTGGTTTTGCTTTGGGTGTCTTGCCAATGCTTGATGGCAACTGGAATCCCCAGGCCAAACACGGGCAAACGTCACGTCAAACTAGCTAGTCTTTTTTTTTTTGGCAGTATTGCAAACGTGCAACTGCGGCAATGGTAACACTGAGCAACCAGTTGGATCACATGGTGTGAACAGTGGACACATGGCCGAAGTAGCAAACTAGCCACATGGAAATACTTGGGATGCTCACAAGTAGGAAGGGACAAGAACCTTCCCAACCACCCAACGACAGCGGCCGAAGCATGTCTGTGCGTTGCAGCCCAAGGCCTACAATTGCTCAGCGCCTTCAATGCTTCCACCTAAGCAGCATGTCTGGGCGTGGAAGTTCGGTCGAAGGAAATTCGCGACCCTCCAAATCGATTTGCGACCGAGGATCCTGGAACAAAGTTCAAGACATATTCCCCAGAAGAAGAGGATTAAACTTTAACTATTCCTGTGTCCAACATGTTGAAGATCGACCCGCTTTTCTTTCAACAATGCCTGTGTCCAACCAACTGGTGTCAGACCTCCCGTGTGGGGCATATACTCCCAGAATGTTGCACAGAAAGGCGACCCAAAAAGACGATACCAAAAGGAATAACAACATCATCCTGGATCCTTCACAAGTTGTTGGACACTGCATTTCTTTATTTATTTACAGTTGCATTGGCCCCCTGCAAGTTCATGTCCAATAATTAAACATCTTGAACACAAACTCCCATTGTTCTACCATGTTGGGGTCACAGAAGCTCACAAATTGGTTTTTGGATCTTGGAAAGCCTCAAGGTTCATCTACAAGAAGCAGCCCTGTTAACATCCTCCAAAATCAAGAGGGATCCCGCGGGGAGTGGATTGCAGTCCTATGCGATAGATCTTCCAGCTTAACAGTCTTCAGCTCGACCCCAATCCACTGCCAAAACTCGTAGGAGAAGTGATAGAAATTGCAGATTCAAATAATGCCACGCCAGTTGTTGTCTTTTTTCAGAGATCAGCTCATCAGCCTATCATAATGACTCAGCACTCTCACCGCTGACTCCCACCGCTGACTCCCACCGCTCAACACGCGCCAGTGCAGGTGGTCGCACCTCATGGTGAGTGGATCGCTTCAGTGCCGAGATGGGGCCTGGCGGAGCCGAGGATCGGCCAGGCGGCCAGGCGCGTGGGTTCGCTGCGAAGCAACGAGCTCCGAGTGGGTGTGGTTAGGAGCAGAGCTGAAGAGCAACAAAGTCCGTCACCAGATCCCTTCAGTGAATCAGGTAAGACGTGGAAGAGGTGGGAAAAAAACATGTAGATACAGAGAAAAAAACACCGATCAGGTCACAAACATGGAAACTAAGAGCTGAAGACGAGTTCCAATGTGATATATGTGATACATGCAAACTTGGTATCGGTGAACATGTACAGTCAGACATGGAAAACTGGCCCAGTCAGGCCACCCTGTTCGTCAAACTGAAACCAACCCCCTTCACAACTAATACCAAGGAAACCTGTAGTACTCATTGGAAAACCCTGCGAAACCCCTTTGAACATCATACGACCCCTCTTGAGCACCATGTGCAGAAATGATGAACTCTCTATTCCCCCTTGAAAGAATAAAGTGATCTGAATATATGCAAATGTGAACCGCCACAATAAAACCCTGGTCCAAAAGGCAACAAACTCCGTACTACGGCAACAGTCCTACAGTCCTACCAAACAATAAACAAAACACACATCTTATATGCCTTCAGTGACTGCTAGAAGAAAACGTCGCTCTGAACCTATGAAACCTATCATGAGAATTTCAATGAAATCCTCGAAATCCATCGCCCCTGACTTCTCTATCACGTGAAGTGTCCATCGCCCTGACTTCCTCACCTCGCCCATCGGCGCGGCGGATGCTCACGACCGGCCCACGGGCACCGCGGCCCAAGGTCTCAACCTAAAGGAACATGGAGTGGACATGAGGGACATCAATAGGGACATGACCTCCCCCAAAGGGTGTGGACTTGTTCTCAGATTCTTTTCTATGATCGAAATGTTTGTTTTTTATGGAACATGTTCAATGTTGTGGATTCTGCTGAGCTGTAAAGAAGACATGATGATAAATGAGGGATGTATTCTTACCTTTTTCTTATATTAGATAACATAATAAAGGAAAAGTAGGAAATGAAACATTCTGGCTCTGGGCGTCACTAGCTCAGAATTCTGGCGCAACCATTTCTTGGACCCTTTGAGTTGCTCCTTTTCGCTTCTGGATGTTCTGCCAAGATAAAGAATCACAAACAATATGGACATCCCTGCCGCCATGCAAACGTCCCTGAAACCCACTAAACTTGGATGTACCTGGTGGGTAAATTCAAGCACATCAGGGCTAGAATAACAAACAAGAACAAGGCCTAGAAGAACATGCTGAAGTCTATTGCCGTGGTGAAGAGTTGATGATGATGGTCAGTAAAGGCCTTGTTCATCCTTGTTCCATTTATATACTGACTGTTACAGGTAATAGGCCAGATCCAACATATTACTATTCAATATTCTGACAGACCCTGAAGAAGGAACAGATTGTGAGCCATTTCATGGTGGTTGAAGAGTTTCCACTAACTACCTCTTGTGGGTCCTGGTTTGCACACAGCAAGTTGTGGCATAGAGCCTGAAAAAATGTCAGCATGTTCAAACAAGTGTCCTCTAGTCAACAGTCATGAAACAGGCAGCTTCTAATCAGCCGCACAAAACTATCTGTAGCTCAAAAGTATGGTCATTGAAACAAGTACGTGATTTTGGTTTAACACAGTATATATTATATATATATATAAATTATGCCTTTGATATATTGTTAGAATGCGTTTGAATGTGCTTTTGTAATATGTGTTCTTGTGTTCATTGTAGGCTGCCAAGGTGACCTGAAAACAATGGGATGAAATCAACATGGACCCATGAGTTGTCGCCCAGAGGTTCCCAAGAATTCTCTACAAAGCATGAACATGTAGCACCAACTTAGGTCTGCCAAACGGAGACAAACACTGAAGAAGTGGGCAAAGCCTGTCATAGTCTGTCAATTTCAAACAATGACCTTTGGACGACGTTTGCTTCCGCGCACAACCAGCAGCTTCAAGGTCAGCAACACATTCTAGCTTTGCCTCTTGGCGACAACCGCTTCAAGGAGATCAATTCTCTCTGCCCTGGTCCCACTTGCTGGAGATGCGCCTCTTCCCATCCAGTTTCGAAGAAGCGCCGCACCCTCGAACGCACGAAGAGGAAGACAAGAAACACATCGGGTGTTTGTGAAATTGGAATTTTGATTATTTTTGGTCTTCCAGTCGACTGCCCATGTTCCAATCCTAGCCCAGAGTCAACTTACAAGTGAACGTCGTTGGGATTGCAGGATTGACAAGAACAATAAATTGCTGTTGGACACCTCCCAACAAATGCTTAATGCTTTGACCAGTTCGGCCAATCTTCCTGAGAACTTTGGCCTGGCCATGCAAACTGAGCGATTCTCACCACACGTTCTCAGTGACTCAGGGCCGGGCGCCGCGTCTTCAGGACTCCATTGCATGGGGTCTCCGAATGTTGTTCGGTGACCGGAACGCCGGCGCTGGCCCTCACTGGAGCTGGCACCCAGAAGGCGTAGCCAGGCAAAGGTAAGGCAAAAAGTCTCACTCGGAAGTTGGATGTTATGCTATTTTGCGCAGTTCTTGTGGTGGCTCGGCTAGCCTGTTCGAGCAGGCTCTGTTGCAGTCTTCACCAGGGGGTTGGGGCTGCAGGCTTGGAGAATTACATGCATATAATCCTCATCGGGCGGGGTTTGAAGACACGTTCGGCATTTAACTATTTTTATGACTATATAGATGGTGGACACATTTAGAACAATCATTGCTGAGTAGCAGGCAATGCCAGTGCTGTAATTAAACCAGTGATCTTGCCTGTGCTCAATGCTGTCTACTGGTGAAAACCATGATTCTGATTGGCTATGTGGATGCTGAATGATTGATCACGTGGCTCAGTCTAATCATCTTCTTGAGCTGAAAGACAGAGTCATCACAAAAGGATCTGCCAAAGCTCTCCGTCTTCCAGCTGGAACATCATCAAGCGCTTCCAGAACACTTGGAAGAGTGACCCTTTCAAACGAACGCGGGCATTGTGCTTCTGGTTTTGCGTCAACCTCGTTCATCGAAAATTAAGCAACCCCAACAGGACATGATCAATATGACTGAATGTATTTGTGTGTGTGTGTGTTTTTTCTTGAAAGTGTTTCAATGAGTTTGGTTTACGAGCTGTCTTCCTCTTGGAGGTATATACCTGGGTTTTATCTACCTCTTCTCGTGCCAAACGACCTTTGATCGCTATGAGTAAAGATAGCAGGATAACATCACAAATACCACAAAAACATACTTGCACACTCTATAGAATTATGTGAGTTATGTGAGCGGCAATGGTACTTAATGCCAAACAAACACAACACACCTTTTCCTTTTCCACAACCCTGAATTGGCTGGCGGAGGAAAACAAAAAGAACCAAATTACCATGCCAGCTACTGATCACTGATCTCTGCAATCTAAATTCCTGAGACTTCAGCCCCAAATGCTCAGGTTTCCATGCATGTGCTCATCACAGTACATGGGAACCATCAAGTAAGTGCCACCATATAGTTCTCTTGTTCAGCTTTGTTCAGCTCGCTTCTTCCATCCTGCTTCTTCTATAGGGCTTCACATCCATCGTCCCTCCCTCATCGCACTTGGCGGCCACACATCGCCCACGCTCCGCGCCACACCGCACGGTATTTTCACCGACATCGCCGGCGGACTCCGGACTTCTTGCCGACCTCCGCCGCGCGCGTGGACCTCGTGCGTGGCTATAGGGTGCCTCACCCCCGCTAACTCCGCCGGACAAAGGCAGCGCGCTCCGCGGCTGCAGCCGGCGGACGAGTTGAAATCGAGGCGCCCCGAAGAAAGCGCTTGGGAAAAAAAGGTTCGACTGCATGCGACAAGGCGAAGCTTTAGATATTGAAGTCTATAGACTAGGCGACTGCATGTCGTTTTGATGGGTCGATGATGTGTAACTATTGGAACTCAGGTTGGGGTCTATTATATGATATATAATCCATCGCTTGTTTTTGCGGCAGGTGTCCCTGTGTCCAAACCCTATGACCTGAATGGGAATCTGGGACATCAGTCCCTCAATTCTATGGATTCTGGGATTATATGAACATAATCTGTTTGCCGACCGTCAGCGAGCACCTCACTTTGCATCGAGCACCACGTTGCGCGGTTGCCTCGGGCTCCGGCCCCCCAAACGGCAAGTTGGGCCAAAAAAACAACATGTTTCCTGGCCTTGAGTCGGAACACTTATAAGTTGAGACTAAGGTTGAGCTAGCTTCGTAGTCTAGAATCCTTATAGTAAAAGCATAGTAAAAAACTACTGGTTGTTTGATGTCGATGGGCAACACTGGTGGTTGGAATCCTAGGGTATATATTCTTGAGACTGCACAACCAAACCGGGAATGGTCAACGGCTACAACAGACCCGTCTTGAGTATACCCGACCATGCGACCATGGGTCTGTCATGGTCTGTCCTTCTTTTTCCAATCATGGAAACTGGAAGCACTGGAATGGATCCAAAGGAATCTCTATTGGGGGCTCATTCCCTCATTCCCTACTAAGTGCCAGTCAGCAATCCTACTGTATATTTGGGGGTCATGCTGTCTTTCATGCATACACGGTGCGTTGCCCTATCTGTCCAACACAGTGATACGAATAAGTTGTGCCATGGATGTTGTGGTAGGTTCTGGCTAAAAAAAAGGGCATTCTAGCGACATGTCCATTGTCAGCAACAGCCTCACCGCTCGATGTGGAAAGAACATGAGGGATAGAGTTACAGGAAAGTACCCTCTTGATCCAGCCAGCAGGATGCCGGGCTTGTAACAGTTTGTACATTACCCGAAGCAAACTGCTGTTTATGCCAGTCAGGTGCGGTTCGACATTTTAGTTTCAATAAACCCTCCACTACAGGGAATCTTGGAAGGTGTAAGGAGCGCATGGCGCAGACCTCTATCAACAACCCAACGATCTCGTGCTGCAGAAAATCACATGGCTTGATATGCCATGGATTCTTTCGGCGTCTAGACTCTAGACAATAATCGAACCAAACAAACCTTCGCATGACAAGTCTAGCCGCCCTGGTCCAGCCACGGCCCCCCCCTGGTGCGCCGCATCGTCGATGGATGAAGCGCGCATCATATCGCCGCGTTCTCTGGGGCTGTCAGGCCCATCTGCGAAGAGCTTGATGTTGGTGGCCTCGGCGGTCATCGAGGGTCATGAGCGCAGCTCTTCGATCAGTCCGTGATCCTACATACCCCTACTCCAATACCCACTATTATAGGAATCCAAACTAAGATGGCACTCTCAAACATGACGCAGAACATGGCGTATGAGTCAAACAGCCTCAACACACACCAAAAATCGACCTCTTCCTGTATCCATGTATGTGTATATATATATACAAATACATATTACACACACATATCCGATCATATCGAATTCCTTGATAGTTCGAAGGGCTCTATCGGTTGGATGTCGCGTTGTCCAACTCGGATGGCGACTGTGGAAAAAAAGATATCTTCCACCCGACGGCAAAACGCAGAAGGTATACATGACAACTCGAGCTGCTCGGGTGGTCATGATGATTTCATGTTTCAGGTTCTCATGTATTGCAGGAAGGGAAGGACGGGACTTGGACGCACGGGAGGCAATGATCCCGGAAGAGTCGGGGTGACACAGGCCTTTAGGGTCGGACACAGTTAGACCGGGGATCTTGAGGGATGTGAAAGCCCCAAGTTGATGTGACGGTCCTCCAATTCCGATTCCAAACTAGTTGCAGTATGTTGATTCCCAAGCTGCCAGTGGATAAGAGCTGAGTATTTCACGATGTTCAACCTGTTGTGATGCTGGTGTGTCAAGGCTGTCGTACAAAAGGGTTGACTGGGCTGGTGGGCGGGCTCAGAAACGGTTTGCCCAACCAACAAACACTTGCTTCACTTCGTGAGCTGTGAACCGCAATGTACCAAGCTTATCATTCCCCAAGTCACGCAGCTGGCTGGCTATACACCTAAGCTGAACAATTCCAAACTTTCTGGTTTGATCTTTCCCATCAGTCGCTGTCCATGTACAACAAGTGTATAACTCGCATAACTCCCTTGGGCGTTGTTAAACCAACATACGGTGTCCCGATCTGCCCCCGATGGCATCCTGAGTCTCCCCTCTGTGATCTCCATTCTCCGCCGCAAGGCTTCCACCTGGTCTGTCCAGCTGTTGGACGGAAAACAACGAATTCTGAGGCCCTCTGAAGCACCACATGGCCTCATGATGCCTCATGTTATGAAGGAGTTAGCTGCTAGCTGTTCACCAGCAATCAACGGGTCTTTGGCAAATGAGCACCTCCTTGTCCAGGGTCACCGTCCGCTTGGTCATGAGTTCAGGAGTCACATCGGGTGTGCCCCAAGTTTGCAAGGGCGTGAACCTTACAACATCTCAACTGGACTGAAGCAACACGTGGCTTACTTTGTGGTTGAAAATAGGGAGACCCTGGGAGACCCATATTCCCCATGGTTGTTGGGGATCTATGTTCTAATTTTTCCTGCAAAGGTCGAACTAGGGGGTCTCCCCGTTCCACCCTCCCATGGTCGCACCCAGGTGAGCCCGAGACAGCTGGAGCCAATGGGATTTGTTGTGCTGGAGCCGGATAGGAAAACAACAAAAAGGGCCTCAAATCAAGGATTCCTCCAGATCTCCCACTTGTGTCAGTCTCCAGCTGAGGGTCGGACGGTCTTGTACCTGACGTGCGACATGCGAAGTAGTGATCCAGTAGTGCAATTCAGTGGACCAAAAATCTAATCAGTTGATGTAATGTAACCTGACCCAATCAAATCTGACCAAATCTGGTAGTGATCCATTGCAGTCGAATCAATGTGAAGTGACTGACTTGGAGTTCCCAGAGTGAGGTCATGAATCGTCAAGATGCCACAAGCAGGGACTCCATTTGAGTTGAAAAAACCGTTCTATAATCATTATCCTAGGTTGAAGTCACAGCAATTCCAAGCGGTGGCTATCATGTACACAACATGCGCTCATGTATATGGTTGTATGTTGTGCATGCCCTTTTAACTGCTGCATTCTTACTTACAGAGTCCATGATGTGAAGCTGAAAGTAACCGTCCTCCTGCACACAGAAACAAGTTGTCAAGCTACGGTCGATGGTTTTCCTATCTTTTTTTGTGTATACAAAGCCCCCGCCCCCACCCCAGCAGCTGCCCTTCTTGTTTTTTCAACTTTCTTCACTCGCGCGTCTGTGTGTATGTTTGCCAAAGTGAGAGTAGTAGGCCCTGCTCAGCACTTGGACAAGTGGTCAAAGATGCAAACAGGTCTAGCGCGGATCCAGCGCGGGTCTAGCACGGACCTAGCGCGCTTCCTGTCAGTGCATGAGGCCACCAAACGTCTGTGATCAAGAACTCGCTTTGTCTTATCTCAAACAGTCGCTCCCTTTCAAACGGTAGCTGCCTTTGTCGGCGCTTTTGCTGCCTTTCAAACAGTTGCTGCTCTTGGGTCTCTGCGGGTGTGTGTGTTGTATGACCCATCAACAAGTTTAGTGACCAATACATGTATGTGTTGCTTGTTAATCTTATCTAAGTTAACTAAGTACTTGATCCTAGCGCCAAACCTAGCGTGAACCTAGCGCAGCCCTGCGTTTTGCTAGCGCGACGAGGTAACATATCCACTTTAAACACCAGAATACCAAGCGCTGGCCAAGCGATTTCTGAACCTCTGGGAACCTTCCTTACTGAATACATATTACCGGGCTTCTTGTTTCGACTCATTTGGAGGTCAGGCAAATGCCAGCTTGGACCTTCTAAGAAACTGTCGGCGAGAATGCGGAGCCGCGTTTTCACTTTCGAGAAGGCGGTTTAGGCAGTCCGTGCGTTGCCTCGCTCTCAGGCAACCCAACGAGCATATGCGTATTGCCAGAACGACCTAGCCATCGCTGCGGCATGGTTTCTGAGGCGGTGGAAGATAGAAGGACGACGTATATACCGATTGCAATCTGAACGTGAAGGTGTCGTGATATTTTCAGTCCTTTTGATCCATTGTTGCTGTCATGGCTTCCCGTTGGAAGTTTTGTTTACATCTGTGGCTTGCCAACTGCAACTGAAGCCAATCATTTCCATTTCCAGGTGTTTGATTTCATTGTTGATGTTTTTGGACTGGAAAAGCCTTCGAACCTCCGTGTTTGAAACTGTCGACGCTGCTTTTTTTTGACCATGTGGCGCTCGCAGCGGTAGCGAGCCTTGAGGCCATTACCTCGCGCGCTCAGCATTTCACACACCTCGTTCAATCGGCGGCCGCCGCCATATTTTCTTCTGTTGGTTGAGCCTTTGTTCTCGAGTTTCTTGCGCCAGTCCGCTTATCCGGGAGGGAAAGTGGCGAGAACGTCCTGTCAGCCATCGCGGGGTGTTTGGCATCCATTTCTTGAGTGTCTGGTATACACGTCTTGCCATAAAGGTTGCACTGTGCCTATTTGCATCCAAGTGGCTTGCAATGTGGGCATGGTGAGAATGGCGCGGGCTCAATCAAATGGTCGCCCCCGGTAGAAGACGATGCCTCCCCAAGAGCTGTGGACGCAAGTAAAACGCTTACATTGTTGTGGCTGTACTTGCCTTTGATCGTCAGCTCCGAGGCATCACCGTAGATCCACTGTTCCCCGAGGTGTCCATGTGGTAGACGCCGTTTCGGTCCAATCGGGTTTCCACCTGCAGCGTGTGTTTTCTTGCGAAACCACGGCGCCCTATACATTGTTTTGGAATACCCCTCCCACGCCTCTGCCACGTGGCTGTAGTATGAAGACTGCCTCCACGTAAGGGCCGTGCAGTCTGTTTCGTTGGTTGCTTTGGCTGAAAAAGCGGCGAGGGTGGTCCGTCGTGAATATCTCGAGCAGTTTGCTTTTCAAGTGGGGTACCTCCACGGTGTGTTTGAATTTTGAGCTCTAGGGGCAAAACGTCGCAAAGACAGCGCGCTTCGCGGAAACACGGTGTGTAGCACCTGGCCTCAATACAAGCCAAACACACTTGGAGAGCACCCTGTTAACAGAACAATGTGCGCTGAAATAATTCCCAGAATGTCTGCGGACCTCTTCCGCGCACAATTTTTGCACAATGGCAACTGATCCGAAAAAAAAGGCAGTCAAATATGCATGTAGCCACTTGAGGTTCGGCTGCTCTCTTTGTAGGGCGTCGAACTCCATGACCATAGGGTCCGTCCTCCATGGAACGAAGTTTGACCGGTCAACCAGCCGTACCACAGTCCACCCCGTCGACTTTTGTTCTCTGACTGACCACGTAAGGTCAGCAGGGGCGTCCAAGCCCTGTGGCACCTCCTTTCCAGTGCTGAGCAGGGTTGCAACCAGCAACAGGCGAACGACCAACTGAGCCTGCGCTTGCCGAGGGGTGGTGCAGACCGGGCTCCAGGCAGTCAGCGGCATGAGCGAGCAGCCCGAGGCAAAGCAACACAGCGAGCGAGCCAGAACTGCACATTTTGTCCGGTGTGGTGTGCCGGTCGGCCACGCTACTTTCGATGAGACTGCCTTTGTTTGGCGCCGTCCTAAAATTCTGCAGCTTGGCGCCGTCCTACAATTCTGCAGCTGGCCCTTGTTTTGGCTACGAAGCATGCCTACAACATCAGAAGATATCAATGCCATTTTTGGAGTCCTAGTCTAATGGGTGACCGGCCGACTTTCTACCTGGATAACTTTGGCGTGCGGGCCGGTTGGACACTCTTGTACAAGACAGTCTTGTGGGACACTCTCTGGAAAACTCTCGTGGGGAACTCTCGTCCAAAGCCCTTCTGGGACACTTGCTCTTGTGGGACACTCTTGCAGGACACTCTTTGTGGGATGCTCTTGTGGAAAACTCTGGTGGGGCACTCTTGTAGGACACTCTTGCGGGGCACTCTTGTGGGACACACTTGTGGGGCGCTCTTGTGGAAATCTCTGGTGGGGTATTCGTAGGAGACTCTCGTGGGACACACTTGTGGGATGCTGTTGTGTAAAACTCTGGTGGGGCACTCTTGTAGGACACTCTTGCTGGCACCCTTGTGGGACACTCTTGTCTGACACTCTGCCGGGACACTCTGGTGGGACACTCTTGACACTCTGGCGCGACACTCTTTTGGGACATGCTTGTAGGACACTCTCGTGGGACACTTTTGTGGGGCAGAACACTCTTGTGCGGGACACTTGTAGGACACTCTTGTGGAAAACTCTTGTGGGACACTCTTGCCAAACACTCTGTAGTCTTTGATACCGCCCAGGCGTGCTTCTATACCCATCCGTCTTCCTTGATGAAAAGGATTGGCGCCCGCGCCGATGCTTGTAGGCAGTCGACCATCAGCCCCTCCACCTTAACGAAAACTACAGACTATTACAGACTTATATTCAGTGTGCTGTGAACTGGGTCTAAATGCGCGGTGCTCAAAAAAATGCCAGTGGCAGGCACCTGTCGTAAGTAGCTTTAGAGATGACTTTCTTTGCGTGTAAGTCATATATATCTATATATTTGTCAGTTGGATGGTGTGACAGGTGGCTAGTTCCTGCATACTGTGTGTCTGGCTGGCTGGTCAGTATGTGTAAGGCTGTTGTGAGGACCATGTTAATGACCAGCTCAACTTTTCCGAAGTAGTTTGTGATGACGATTTTCTGCCATCCTCCTTCCAATGTTGGAGGTGTTTTCCATAGCTGTCCCAGTAGTGCAAAGAGTGCTTGCCTGAGAAATGGCTATTGGAAGGCTCAAGACAAGTATGCCAAGTATTGCATCTCATGCAAGCTCACGTCCTGCCGCAGTCCTGAGCCTTCAACGAGGAGACTGTCTGGTGTGGGACGATGAAGTTTCAGGAGACTGGATTGGACCCAGACCCAGTTGTGTGTGTGAAACCGGGCCAATGAAGCAAAAAGTGAATTCACTAATTATCTCTCTTTGGGTCCTCTGGTCCTCCCTTGGTCCATCCAACATGAATCTTCACTCCCAACCACCAGTCGACACACCCACCAGTTCGAACCGGGCGCACGCGACGTGAGGGATCATCACAGCCTGGTCTGCTGGCACCTGAAGGTTTTCGCGAACGTTCACGCCCGAGCTCACCGGATACAGAAGGCGCGGAAGAGCGATCAAAAAGGATCAGATCAGCGAACAAATGTCTTTGTTGCCATTGAAATATCACCGTTTTGAATTGTAACCGTTTTAAATCCAGGACCCTCCGACCCTCGGGGTGTCCTGGCTGGACTACCCCACACTACCTATAGGCTTCCATTGGGCACCCCTTGGAGGGTCCTGGTATAATGTTAATTTGAATCCATCGCTCATCGCTGGGGCGTTCAATCTGCGGTCGACCGCCTTGAGGATGGGGTCGTCCGCGGGAATGGGCTCCGTGGCGAAGACATCCAGGCCTGGTGCGTGCGACATCGAACGCGTCGACCGGTGAACTTAGGTAGGTGAACTCACTCTTGAGGAAGTGAAGCCAGTGACAAAGAGCATCAAGCATCAGACTTGGAGATTGGAGATACAGGATGTTCATATGTTGGGTCTATCCTAGTACCTGTAACAGTGGATGATGATGGTTAGTAAAGGCCTTGTTCAAAAATGATGATAACCGTTTACTGACTGTTACAGGGTACTATTCATATTATATATAATATATAGTTATATTGAGTCATCTCTGGAGATCCGCTGTCTGACGCATCGGAAACTGGCCGAACATCCATCTGCCGCACCCGCAACCCGCACCTGCGCGGAAGCGCTTCTGGCAGAGCAAGTCCGCCAGAGCCGGTTGATCGCACACGCCGCCGCGGGCCACGTTGATGAGAACCGACTGAAGGCGTGTGGGGAAGCAAGCAAAAGAGGATAGAACAGCGGTGAGTTGTTTATCAACATGAGGTTGTGTTTTCTGTTTGGCGTTTGTGTATAATACATGTGTTTCTTTGGATTGGTTTATTGTGACTCTCGTGGTTGGTGCTGAAATCACCGCTTGAAAAGCCCCCGAGGTTTTCAATTGGGAGAGGCTCAACCGACCTGAACGACCATGTTGAGTGGAGGATCAAGTGTAGATGATGCACTTATCATTACACCTGCAGAACTACACAGCACTGCATGTCATGATATGTCATGTATGGCTGCCATCACTCTCTTGTTGAGGTACATCGTATTGTCAAACCATCATCAATGAATGCATTAAAAAATTATGCATTCATCATCATTCATGTGACTACGTAGACTAAAACCACACAAAACCACAAAGAACAACACTTCACCACTAGCCGGGACCTCACACCCCACACCGGATCACACCTCACTTGTGTCCTTAAGTCTGAAGTCATAATTGACAAACAGCACAGACACATCCGACATCCCTTTTGTACCAGGAACCGGAAGGAACAAGAAAAACACAACTATTCCCCCACAATGGGGATTGACTCAATCCGATAAAATCAATACAACAAAAAGCATTAAAAAAGACGGCCAAAGGGATGCTTGAGAGGGCTTTGGGCAAGAGTCTTCAAGAGTGAGGGCCTCCCACCTGAGGGGTCCCCACAGACTTCCCTTGAAAAACCATGACCACATCAACACCTGTCCCCACAAAACGTCCCACTACTCAACTCCTCCGGTCGCAATCGTTCCATCAAGGACCGGCCGATGATGCCCTGGGTCTCGGCCTGGCTGCACGGTGCGGGGTGCGGGGTTTCAATGCGGGTGCACCTGAGTCTCCCTGAACCCCTCACCCGTGTGGGCTGGGCTGTCATGGTGATTCTAAGTGTTTTGGAGCCACCTGGTAGTCACCATGAACACGTGATTTTGATTCGGTCAAGCTCGAAAAAGCTAGAAGATGCTAAAAGACTTTGGAGACCCATTTCCAGCTAATTCAAATCCATCCGTGAGTAAAGCGATGAGTGGTTTGCCTGCCATCACCCACTCTCAATGGCAAAATTATCAACAACACATCGAACACTGGGAAGCCCAAAACCCTGAGGGATGATTACGACGGGCTTCAATTCTTCTTGGGGGGGCCACTGTCAGCTGTTATTATAAGAAAATGACTACCTGATGTGCTGTTCATCGCTTCGCGTGCTCTCTATATAGATAAAAATCGACTTCATGGTGCAGGAGCACGCCAACATCTGCCAAGCTCAGGCCCACACATTCAGCGCTACGTGCAAGGAGACGATGTCGGACTTTTCAAAGAGCTCCTGATTGGCGAGAGAGCGTCACTGCAGCGGAGAAGAGCGCAATCCGCCGAAACCCACGGAGGCTAAAACCAGGCAGTATAGGCAGCCGGTTTGTATCAGTACACTGCCCCAGAAGTCTCTTTTCGGGTATCTAGGTTTTATTTCGACGAAGTGTCTTGCATGGACAACTGTGCGTCAAATTGGATTGTGTTTTCGCCTGGACTCCTCTGTCTTCACAATTCGACACAGGGGCTCCAAATACCTCCTGAGAAGGTATTTGAAGCCCTGATTAGTCAATTTACGTTCAAATTTGTTGACCAATAAATGCATCACCAGCATTGCCTCCTGCTTTCTTTGCCACTCAAAGCTGAATGGCCCAAGATCTGTGCACCTTGCCTAAGGCCAAACTGCGGTTCAGGAACTTCGGCACTGGAGCTTCAAGACCCGTGGCAAGCCTGAGAACACGCCTCAGGTTCAAGGTCATGCGGGGTCCACAGGTACTTCACCAAGCCCTCAAAGCCTTCCTCACTTCGCGCCATCATCCGGTGTGTCGGTCTTTCCACATGTCGGTGCCTAAAGGCACCAACTGTACCGTCCACATGCGACCACGGCCGTCCGGCGCCACCGCATGCGAACCACCAGAACACCCACCATAGCTTCCTGCTTGCGTCTGTCTTCTACACCTGGAAACGACCAGGCCATGCCCACCGGTCACTCGTGGTCCTCGATGGGCACTTGCTTCCCCAACGTCTCAAAGGCCGCCTTCGGCCGCCGGGACCTGTTCCACCCGCGATCGGCCAGGGCCGGGTGTGGCCGAGGGGGCCGAGGGGGTCTGTCTCGGTCGGAGGGTTGGATTGGAAGGTTTGGTCGGTCAAATGAGCTGTCTCGACATTCAACTTTCCACCATGGTCTCGTCCGGGAACGAAATGCCTGTCTTCGGAGGATTGATGCGTTCTGAAAAGAATGAATGAGCATCTGAGAAGAGATTGGATACCCCAAACTTGGCACCAGGTTTGGTTTCAGGGTCACTCTCTTCTGCCTGCGGAGTCCGATCCAAAAGTTCTCTCTCTTCGCTGGGCGCGGCTTAAAAAAAGGAACACCAAGTTAAAAAGGGATGTGGAGGATGATGAACAGTTGTAGTTTTCCAGAAGAAGCATCGGATGCTTGTTTAAGCTGCTCGATTCACGTCTCGCGTGTTGAACAAAAAAAACGGCCACGATACAAACGACAATTCCTCAAGCAGAAACTGATGGACCAAGGTACAGTACCGTTTGTGTGAAGTAAAAACAAATCAAATCATCTGTTCCCATCCCATTCCTCATGTCTTAACCAAACAAACAATTTTAAATGAATAACCTAGCACCTGGATCACCAGCACCTCCTCCTCCTTCATCCTCCTTCTATACAATAGCAATCCATTTTGTTGACCTCTTGGAGTGTAAATTCACTGGTCGGGTGTTAGAAATAGGGAGGCCCTCCAACCAATTGATCTTTTCCGAAACTCTTGGCTCTCTTTTTGCACAAACGTCCAACGGTCGGGGGGGCTCTAGTCTCCGAGCTCTCCACTTCCTCAACATTCACCTCAAGGTCCCAAGGACGCCAGTCGACATTCCAGAAAAAGACTACACAAACTAGTTTAAAATCTTGAAACAACTCTGTTTAAACAATCAAGAAACAAATTTAAACATATTTAAACAATATTTAACAAAACAACACAAATCTCACCTCATTCACCCCCCCCTCCAACGTCACATCCACAGCCCAGGCGCCATCCGAGGATTTCGGAGGGGCCAAAGGCCTTGAAGAGCTCCGCCGTCCTCGAGCGCAGCCGCGGCGACGAAACGAGCTGCGCCTTAATGTACAAAAGACCAACTTTGGTTTTCAGTTCTTAAGGTACCCCGGTACCACCTCAGGTTTGGCCTCTGCCGCGCCTGGCTGTGCGACCTGCCAACCTACACTTTGAAGATCAAACCTGGCGACTCTGGACTATGGGCCCAATTTATTCAATTTAAACTTTGTGAACCGAACAGCAACAAAACCTAACGGTGCAACGTGTCACAACCTTTTTGATATTGATATTGATGTTGACATACGTAGCGCAAACCTTTTGATCTGCGATTGAATAGAACCTCTCCAAATCCCCCCCGAAGAAACCTTTCACTTTGGTGAAGTACAGTATTGAATCCAATGCATCTGGGTTCACTGGCCATTCAGACCTCGTCTTGCCAAAGAAAAAAAAGAAAACGGAACACGCTGCGCCCGTCTCGCTCGCGGGTTGCCCCGCCCCTCTCCGTCTGCAGGACTCCTCAAGCCGATGTCTCCAAGTCCAACGATGCCAACCACCTCAGCGTGCTGCGCGGATGTGCGTTGAGCGGTTCGGAGGTGCCGCCCGGGGCGTGCGGACAACGGCGCGCCCAGAGAACATCGCCACACGATGATGCCACATGAAGCCTGGCCAAAACACTGAAACCATGTGCCTGGAAAAAAACAAGTGGCGCACGGTCCTGACTGGACACTAAGCCTCAAAAACTTGGCTAGATTTGGCTTGGACCCCAATCTTTTGCAGATCAAGAGTAGAACACATCTGCAGAGCTTGAGCAACCCCAACAAAAATCCCTAAACCAGGAGTCACAGAGGGGTGGTGTTTGGTCAGGAAGTGAGTGGATAATGGGCACCCCTAACCTCCATGGATAGCACCCCGACATGTGACTCCTGGAATAAGAACCTTATTTAGGAGTTGGTCCGTGGTCCGGGGTCCCAGTCTTCAAAGACGGAAGAGCAAACCACTTCAGGGATCATCATGTGCCCACCTATCGCCATAACGGGTCTTCAGGAGGAAAAGAAACCGATCCGATGAGTTGCCCCATTCACATTATAAACTCTTCATCTAGGCACCCATGCAAATACCCAGAAAATCCCCAAAACTGCCCAGAAGAACAACAGCCACCACCACCTTCCAGTGTCCCACCACCTTCTATCTGCCTTGTCCCGGATCTCCATGCCACCGGAGGAATGCACCCAACCGCCCGCGCGCAGCGTCCTGTCACTTGTGAATCCGAAGAAATCCAGGAGGCGAAAACTGGACCTAGTTAGAGTGCATTTATGGCCCTCACGAGTTGGACACGACCTACTCCCGAAAAAGAAAGCCGACCACAGCTCACCAAGCCAGCGTGTAAGAAGCACGATCCTCGCCCAAAGAGATCCTGTTGTTCATTTTGCTACGGCTGAATCCCAAGATCCTTGGCTATTATGCAAGTCCGGACAACGCTACCTGTGGTAGTCAGGCTGCACTTCCGCAAGCCCACTCTGAAATTCCTGTAGCTCAGCCGGAAAGACCACCTCAGATTGAAATTGATTTCTCTATAGCAAAAAAGGCTATAGTAAGCATGCACCATTGTAAAATTCAACCATTGGCCCATTGGGGATAAATCATGGCGAGTGTTCGGAACATTTTAGCTTGCCTATGGGGACACCTTCCGCTCAATCTAGACTGCAGGAGGCGCAGTTGCGCAAGAACCATGGTCGGTTTCATTGCGCAGAAGCTCAAAAGACGCATTGATCATGAAAGGAAACCACCGAGACACATCGCAACTTAGCAAGTCGCTTAAGATGACTGACCTTCCAAATAGCATCTATAGAAGGTATTTGGCTTCTGTCTCACCGGGTGTGGATTTGAGCCCCATCCACAAATGATATGAGCGGAATCATCTCGGAAGACTCATCTCGGAGGTTGAAATCAAAGTGTCCCAAGAATCTGACTGCGAACCGATATCCCATAATATACTCCATGGGACTGGCATATATGCCGATCAATTGACCCCCAGTCAACCACCCCTGGCCTGATCGGCATATATGGCAGTCCCATGAAGTGTTTGGGTATATGTGATGGGCTTGGTTCGGGTCCAAACACCCCCCTGTGTTGTGTCGGGCGTGACCTGTGCCATGGAGGGCAGGTACGGATTCTGAGGGTGATATGAAACCACTTTTTCTTATAGGGTGGTATCAACAAATGGAAAAGATTTGTCATTGTCAAAATCATCTTGCAGTAGTGTGGTTGAAGAAAAACGTGATAGATTTATACCCATATATATGGTGGTTGATTCAATATATATATATATATATATAGTGATGTTCTTTGTGAATAAGTAAAAAGTACATCAAACATCATAAGAATCATCTGATCCGAAACAAACCAACGTCACGACGTCACTCTCCCTGGACAGGAGCGTCTTCCCCCATCTGCCTCTCTCCGGCCGGGATCTCCCGATAGACTGCCAAAGCCAAGCCCACCTCACGACCGCTGGACCCCTTGTCGGACCGTGGAGTCCGGGGAGGCACCGTCCTCCGGTGTTCAAAAGGTCAAACAGTATATAAGCTAGTTGGGTCTATCCGAATGCCAGTAACAGGGCCCAGTGGATGATGATGCTTAGTAAAGGCCTGGTTCAAAAGGAGTGATAATTGGTTACTGACTGTTGTAGGCAATAGGACAAACCCAAAGTATAAGCCTCTGTGTGCAACCTGGTGCCCTGGCCAGCCACTGGCTATATGAAAACATCCTAAGCAAAACCAGGTAGGGCTCCAACTACCTCTGTTTCGAAGACGGGACAGGGGTGGGTGCCAGGGGGTCTGTGCCACCGGGTTAGATGTCGGCCAGGCCCTAGGGCATGCATGTCCTTGAGCTGTGTGATTTCTGTGGGTGGTTCAAGGTAGCTGGTTCCGAAATGTTCCGACATGTTCCAAATGGACATGAATAAGTTCATACCATGCACATCATACACCCCCTGACCCGTCCCCAGGCTACCCTAACCAATCAAATGTAGGGCAAACCCAAGATCTGAGAAACACATTGTTGTAGATAGGGCCACCCCACTCGCTGAACACAACCCTGCAAAATCTTGCCAACACTCTCCCAGAATTAACCAAATTGAACAATTTCCAGACTCCTGGGAATCCAATGTAAATTGGGCAACATTTCCAAGTAAAATTATGAAAGTAATTCATAGTAATTCTGAACACTCCCAGTACTTCCATCTTGAGACGTTTGGAGGAATACAAAATCACTTCACCACGTGGCCGAGAGCTCCGCCACGGAGTCTGTGGAGTAGGCGGGCACCTGGAGGGACTCGCGTCTCGCGTCGAGGGACGTCCGTTGGAGCGAAACACGGCCGTAAGGCGCCCTACGGTCGGTGGAAAAGAGTCTCGAATGCACTGGAGTCACACTGGTGGTGGCAGGGAAGTGAGTGGTATTTAGGACACGCCTGACGTCTTGTGATGAAGAAACCCTGAAGGGCCCTTTGAGGTGAACTGGCTGAGAAGGGGTGGTGGTATGTTGCGGGAGTTGGAGGATCAGCCTCTACGAGTTTGGATGAAGGATGAAGATTCGGCTCTCCCGTGGAGTCCAAGCTGGAACTTTGGAACCTCACAAGCACATCACACGATCCAGCGACCTTATCAGACGTTCTATCCCGAAGCTTAGGGACCGACTGACCAGCAAACCGGGGCTAGGCTTTCCGTCTAAGGTTGTGGAGAGAAAAGCACGGTTGCAACAGTTGCACCACCTAAGACACGGGTAGCATGTGTTTCCAGATTCTGTTACATAGCCTCAGAACTGGGGCGATCGGCCCAGACACCGCTGACCGCCAACCTCCTCCCTCGTGATCACTGCGCTAATAATTCTTCCGCCACTGGAAAGTCCCTCTCCATCACTGCCGTATACTTCCACCACTGAAATCCCCAACCCTATAGCTACATTCAACTGCCCCAATCCCGATCATCTGAGGAGGCAGCGTTCACCACAGAGATGCCCCTCTCCTTGCACGCCTTTGCGAGGCTTTCCAGGCATGTGATCAGTGGTGGAGCACTCATCAGCTTACCCAGTGAAAACGTGTCATCAGGCCTACTTTACATACCAAAGTTCATCTTGTAGTTTGACGCGAGCTCGTTCTCAAACTCTTTCTCACAGACAAACTCTCAACACATCATGTGTCCAGCTTCATGTAAGTTTCGGGTCCTTGTAAGCATGGGGAATAATAAAGATATCAATTTGCATCATAACTTGTTCAGTTCGCCCGTGACAGTGAGTAAATTACCTTCAGCCAAAATGGTGCAGCAGCTGATACAAAGACCATGCATACCCAAAGACATGCAACTGGAGATCCTGTTTGTACAGGAACACAGTCATGCTTTCAGGTGCCATGTGCCACCTCTGTGCTTGCTGGATAGATGGTAAGCTGTAAGCCGCATGCCAAGTGTCAAACCCCTCCCCGAACATATCCCAAATCCTCAAAGCCGTTCTTTAAGAGCTCTTACTAACTGGAGTGATCCACTAAACATTCTGCAGAAGCAAAATGGGCGTCGGACACAACGACCCCTGGCACGTGAAAAAAAAAACTCCCTCCTTGTAGTTTCATGGGTTCTCTTCCCTTCCTTCCCACCCTCTTCACACCCTCTCAACTCCACCTCGAGGTCCACGTGGTTGAAGCCAGTAAAGGAGACGGCCACCAGCTTGCACTTGGGATGCCTCGGTCCCGAGACACCGGGCTGGCACGAAGTCCTTGCGGGGTGGCTGGTGGTTGGCCGGCCATGGTTGGCACCGGGTGTTCGTTTTCGTCTCTAGTCTATTAAACAAATCAACTCATTTGAGCAGTCTTAAGCATGTCTTTTGTTGTTTTACAGTGGTTGGCTGATGCAAACTCTCCTTGCATTGCAGGTGCAGGGCAAAAGAATGTGACATCTCACTGTCAATGCAGAAGAAGAAGCATCGTTGCAGAAGAAGAATGCGGCTCACTCACGGGGTCTTGATGCATCTCCTGTCGAAGAAGACTCAAAACCACCACTCCTCCAAAACCATATTCCTCCCAAAACCACCAAAATTCCTCAACGTCTTCTTCAGCCCAATCTTCCAGTCAGTGCACACACACACACCATCTCTCCATCTTCCGAAGTCGGACCTCTGGCGTCCCACCGACCACTGGGGAAGCCAGACTTGTCCAGTACCTCCTTGGTCACAGGATTCGTCACCTGGCGTCCGGTCCAGCCAGGCAGGGTCGGAAGAAGAACTTCCAGCCATGCCGGATGGCCGGAGTGGCCAGAGCCATGCAACCATAATGGGGCGAAACAGGGAAATTCTATACAGGAAAGCCTTTTCAACCCACTGCTGGGACCCTCGTACCATGCGGTGATTTCGTGGACCTTCTCATGGCCTGGGGAATGGCCTGCCGACGGAGGTCGGTACCGATAGGATACAGGGTACCGTCCAGCAAGACGGAAGAGCCAAGCGCAGCCCTGGACCAAGCGCTGTCCCGGACCGATGACCAGCAGGAGCACTAAGGATAGAGTGTGCATCTTGACTAGGCGTCACTATGCTGCAGGAAGGTGCCTAGAACACACTTCTGCATTGGAACGGCGTTTGTGAAGCCACCATAGGTGTGGCAGTTTGCTGAGTGCGTCCGAGTTTCTTTATTTGTATAGGCCCAGTGATTAAGAAAAAACATCTAAAATATGACACTGCCAAACTGCCAAACTGCTCTGCAAGTAGGTGTCATTGTAATATGGTGTTCTTGAAAAAGGATGCCTTTCCCACTGTCAGCTCCACCTTTCCCACTGCTAGATCCGATCACTCTCGATCCAAACCGTTCAGAACATGTCCTGTAGGATGACTCGATCGTGTGGGAAATCAACTGAGTCCCCCGGTGCCTTTGAACCACTTCAGCCAGATGAACCACTCCCTGGAACGGCCCCATGATGGTTACGTGCATGGAGTCCATGACCCCGAGTTCGGAAGACCATGAGTTTTCCACGACAAACAGGTGGTGAACTCCACTTCCACTTCCATGGACCAGTTCCAGGGAGAGCAACCACTTCAGCCAGTCGACCTGACGATTCGATCACCAAATCGTCGCCGCCTCCATCACACAGACCACGTCCCTTTTCCACAGCTCACCACCACTCGGTCTGTGCGACAGGATGGCACTGATCACCATCTGGGCAAATAGAAAGGAGGTACTGAAACTTCATGATATCCCTCTGGAAATAACTACAAGAATCCCTCGGTCTATGTCTCGTGCTGCTTGAAGTCATTAAGACTTGAGAGAGGAAGGGGTTAACGAAAGGTAGCAGGCAATCACAAGTAACCCTGGTAGAAGTCCATGACGGCGTGACCCGGCGCAGGGGGATTTGATCCAGGGAGGGGGGGGGCCCACCCCCCCCCCGACGAACAGAATCAACTCTTACAGGACCAAACTCAATGCACAATCCCAACTCCTGATTGTAATACATGTTTGCTAAAGCAAGGAGAACTCAGGTAGCTCAAGCTACCTTTCGTGACCTGTTTGAGTTTGAGGAGCTTCGATGTGCTTATGGAAGTCTTAGGGGCAGGATTAGGTTTCCTAAACACGTTTCATCATTGCTCCCGATGATGACTTATGATAATTCCAGATTCAAGCTTTGACACTGAAGCTTGGGTGATCAACTTCTGCCGAGCTCCGCGGCTCCACGTCCGAGCGTGGAGTCCCCAGCAGCCAACATCTCGGCTCACCCAATCAGGTGGAAGATTGCACCACCCTGGAATTCCCCTCACTTCAATCACATGAACGCGCAAGAAACAATGGACTTCTTTTAACTGTGACTATAGCCTATAGCCATAAAACATGGGGGATGACACCACTGAAAGCAAACAGGTCGACACTCACAGGAAAAGATGGCTTTGATACTGTATATCATGTGCTGTTTCGATAATGTAATGGAGAAGGGTGAGGGTCAAACAGTTTGTTGAAGTGAGGGTACGAGACATCCTTAGGGATGATCTGTGATTACCATGGCCGTTGATCAGTCTGTCTGTCCCTTCAGTGCGCCAAGCTGGCCACAGAAAACCACAGATCACATGTTAGATTCATTTCGATCTAGCCCTCCAGGGCCAGATCTGCATCTGCACGGCTCTCCAGCATCTGCACGACTCAGACTCTCTCAGACCCTCCCTTCGATGAATTTCCCGCCCACATAGCTCGACAAGAAGGCCGAGTGGTGGCGCTTCTTCTCGTGCTTCGCCCACTCTGCCGGCGTCCTGAGTCGCCCGCCGTCTGTTCGAACACCCGCGAAACGACATCGATCGCTCGGCCAGGTGAGGGGTGGAGTGGGCGGATCCAGAGACGTGACGTATACGGTGTGTGCACCATACACGCACCGGCGCTGGTTGGAGGTTCCATGAGGTTTATCTCCACCTCGACTCTAGGGGTCTCCAGTCCGCATGGTACGAATGACTCAAAGATCTGGAGCAGAACCTGGAGTACAATAGACTGGACAGGTCACACACAGGGGGGAAGTCGAGTCCATGCAACATGTATCCTCCATCTACAAGGAGTCCTACCAGGAGGTGTGTGGATGCTTAGCTTGGTGCTGTGGATGTTCTTGTCCTTCTTGCTCCTTTTCAACCTGCGTATACCGCTTACCGTGGTCACCACGGTCACTGGTCACCATCGGTACCGAGAGACTGTTCTATGCTTTGCGCACAACCGTACCGACATCAACGACGCATACTTTGGAGGAATGACCAGCTCTAGAGGATTCGAAAGGCATCCTGCAGGCAGGTAATTGACTGCGGTTTGACTCAAAAACACATGTCAATGAAGGTCCCCCTGCTCACCCATCATTCCAGTTGATCTTTCAACTTGTTTTGTTCTTTATTTTACTATACTTTACTCTATTACATGCGTGTTTAGTCTGTCTTCAATTTATGTTCCTGCTTTGTCAATGTGTGGTTTACGGGTCCCCAATCAAGACCGACGAAAGAAGACCGACCAATCCAGACTGCCGGGAGCTGAGTGGCTGCGTTGCTGCCGAGTCGATTCACTCTGTGAGACGCGAGACTCTGTCGCCATCACGGACCGCTGACCGCGACCGCCCACCAGTGTCGATACGAAGACACACCTCAAAAAAAGAAAAAACGCCCCACCGGCTGCCCATCTGGAAAAATACTAAGTGCGACTCTTGCCCATGCCATTCTTGGCAGCTAAAAGCCTCAGTCCACTCAGTCGGAAGGCCAATATAAGGTGCTGGAGTGCTGGACACCAAGTTCAAGCACGTGCAATCCGCTTGAAACATGCTCTTGATGTTCAGAGTCCATTTCAGGAATACCAATGCCTGGTGTACAGTGTAGCTGCTACCAGTAGCTGGTCCTCCGGTCTTTGGACCCAGACCAGTCCCGAAATAGCCAACATCTGAAGCTCGGAGGAATCGTTTGGGTCAAATCCAAGTGAATCGATTTGGGTTGCCCTATGTTGCCCTTCACCAGTCTTTCCTCCAGCCCCAAACAACTGGTCTTTTTTCCACCATCCTTTAGAAGAAGTCGTCCAGCTGTGATTTTCCATGTAAAATAGTCAGAATAATATGTAATTTGTCCAACATTCAATAGCTTACTTTGGAGGAGTGCAAACGGCCTCCACAGTTGGAACACCCACCCCTGCTAAAAGCCTGCTTTTAAAAGGCCATAGATCCAAGAATTCTGGATCAGCTTCTGGAACTTCCAAAAGAAAAACGATCCAACATATGCATGATGTGATGTGATTTTGTTTTTTCGTTTATTGACCAGCATTGACCCACCAATTCTCGATGTCCAAAGGGCGAGGGATCTGCATCAATGATCATCCGAAGCATCGCCTCAGTTGTGGTCCGACACCGTGGTCTTTTGGGCGACCGCTGGTCATGTTGAAGAGTTGAAGAGTTATATTTGGCTTGAGAGAGGCCAATTCAGCACCACCCTGTTTCGTAAATTAAAGGGAAGAGTCCATTTTGGGGCCTTTCAAGTGGTGCACGACTAGCTGGAGGATTGAGAGGCAAATACAATGACTGGATTTGCCCAATTGGACTGGGAACAACCATGTAATTCTACACGGAACTCATTCAATGATCCGGGAATATGAGACACATATTCGACATGAAGAGGACTATCTCCATCGAAGATTGGACAGGGTTTAGCATGGTTTAGCATCAACCTCCTGAAGTTGTATACAGTATAATCGGGGTCTCTAATTGTGTTGTTTGAATAATTAAGCATTGTTATTCCCTCACGATCTGCCATGTGTTTCACAGGTACGATATGGTACGATCAACAAACAGTGTCCAAACAAACCTTTAACAACCCAATTGAGTGTTGCTCGCTTCGCCCACTCGAATGAGGCGCGGGGCAGCGAAAAACCATATAGTTGACTCAACAGCCATTAAGGTCTGCAACATCAAGTGACAAAGTATATATACGTTACCTCTGACTCATCCACGATATCCCACTGGTGGTCAACCTTCCTTCACCTAGTTACGTCAAAACAATTGTGGTGGTCTTTGGGTGACTCACCATACGGTCCACCATCTCTTCCCATCATGTTCCCCCACCTTTTTGGGGGGCCCTCCGTCCATCGGCTCGTCCGTTCTGCGCGTCCGTCCGTTCTGCCGCTTCGGCACATGGATTCGATCCACGCCGCCGGTGTCCACCGAGGCGGACGCGGCGATCTCGGCCGGGCGACGGCGAGGCGAGGAGGCGGGGAGGAGGCGAGGCTGAGTGACAGACATGGGTTTGAGTCAGTTCGAACATGTGTCATGAAGTAGCGAATGATTAGCAAGTAGCATGGGTTGAAGTACGAAGCGATGTGGCGATACCGCAGAGCGATGGCGAGACGACCACGCTCAGCAGTACGCGAAGCAGTACGTGCTTTTTTTGCGGAAGTTTGCGTATCCAAGAGTCGAGCTGAATGTATACGAAAAAAACAACTACGTCATACCTTCACCTGGCTCCATTTCTGCAACCAATTGCGGAACAACAATACTTAAAGGTGATGCCGTCCAATTTACTCATACATATACCCAAACCATCCCTTCTTTTTCATCTGGAACATCCGAAGGAGTCATCTGTTTGGACGACCGAACTGGATCTCCAGCTAGGGTGGCACGACTGGCCCTGATGTGTTCTTCTTGGTTGACAGTGTTGATAGCTCGCGGAATATCAAAAGCATGCGTGTTGTCATAAGTTGACCCCCCCAAGACTTAAGTGGTGACAAAAACATGTTCAACACATGCATCATTGAATCTTCCAAATCAACCACCTCAGGTATCGCTGTACAAACACACAGATTTTTCAGGGTCTATCCAAAAAGCGATACCACCGAAGCCCCGCACCGCGTCCTCGGTCACCATCTCACCATCACCCGTTTGGGTGGTTGAAAACCGTTCCACGAAGATCCTCTCCGTTCCAAGCGGCGTGAAGCACCTCGGAAGACGACACGGCGGCACGAGTAGGCGCAAATCAGTGACACGGGTGGGTGAGTGTTTCACTTCAGCGTCGGCAGCTCAGCCAACAGGCAATTCTTTAACAAAAACAAATTGATTTTGCACTCCCAGCTTTCTAAGGATTCCTAGGCTCCTGGTCCATCTGGATATGACGGGTCCATGAGCTTCTTATTGGGGCTCCCCTCGTTGAATTGAATTTTCTGTCTTTTCACGTTGTGTGCCAGGGAGTCAACCTTCCTTTGAGCATAACGGGAGATAATCAGAATCGGATCACCCTTGACCGTTTGTAGAAGCTCTGGCGATCCTGAAAAATCGGAGACCAACACGTTCTGAACACCACGGGAAACCGGAAGTGCACAACACCGGGGAAACCCTTCTGTGATCAAGGCAGGCAGGCCTGCTGTTAAGGAGCATGAACATGCTCGGTGAACAAAGACTGACAAAGCAAGAATAGTGATGAGATATTGCTGCCATGCCAAATGTCATTGTTGATGAAGACTCTATCCAGCGCCACTACGAATATCTAGTAGACCCTACTCTTGACGGAAGAAGTGCTAAAGACTACGCCGTGACTACGCCTCAAATGGATAGTATCCACTACTTTCATGGTGATAGAGGTTTGAGGTTTTGCTTGGAATTCTTCCACTCCACCTGCTCCTCAAAGTTGCTCTGAGAAACGGACATGTTAAAACTGTTAGCATCATCTAGCTCTCCCCTGCGAGGTGAACTCATTGGCCTCTAACATCTTGTCCCTTAGCATTGGTCAAAATACTTGGCGCCAAAAAAAAAGGTCAGGTCCCGGTGACCCCACTCCGTTCCATCAACATGCTAAGCTGCTGCTTATAGCAATCCCTCGGACCCTACAGGGCCGAAAGGATCCACAACCCAAGAAACTCATCGACTCGAGTCCTCCGTTCCCGGACCGGTCCCCCACGCACCCAAACGCCCCACACCCACAGCTAGCTATAACTCGCGACGACCTACTCGACCGTTTGGGCTTAACTGCCCTTCGGCCCAAGAGGCTGTGTGGCCAATGTTGGGCGACCTGGCCGTCATATCGGCACCCGCCGCGATGAGAAGTCGGATGTCATCCACCTCGCCGGTGAGACACAGCGGGGTGTTTGGCTGTGTCGGTGGCTGCGGCTGTGTTTGCAAATGGAGCGGTAGAGGGGTGGTTGAAACCAGAAGTGAGCTGCAGGTGGAGCTGCTTTTGGAGCTGCTTTGAAGATGGTATTTTTGCTGGAGATTGGTGGGTGGAGATTTTCAAGGTCTGCTTCTCCTAGTGCAGGCAGAGAAGGTGCAAGGCTGGAGTAACTATGAAGCTTCTGGTCCACGTGTTTACCTGTCTGAGCAAAACAAATCGTGAGAATGCTTCAAACCGCTGCGGCTCTCATGACCCCGCGGGTTTTCGGCTGTGAAAAGGCAAAACTGGAGGTTTCAGCAGAGCACTAACGGAAACAACAGTGGTGCATAACGCGCTGAAATCCAGTTAGGTACATTAACTTTGTGTTGGTCAGGTAATGTCACAACATCTGATGGTCGTGTCACAGGCCTTGGCCAACGCGTGAGTTCACACGTTTACGGCGTTTACCATGAGAAATACAACAACTATACCTGATCAAACACAGGCTGCGTGTCTCGCGTGTCTCGCTGCCAGTCGAGTGCATCGAGAGCTTGCTGCTGGCAGGATCTGGACAAAATTGCACCACATCTGATAGATATCAAAAGACTTTGGCCACACCTAGGTACATCACCGGAAAAGCCACGAAAGCACGGCCTTCGTGGCATCAATTTGCGTGATGTGTTCTGATAGATGATATTATCAAGTTACAAAAGTTCAAAGCAAAAACACCATCACATAAAATCATTTATTGGCATTTGGACAGAAAACATTTAAGCAAACAGGTCCACAACCCCAAAGACTAGAGGACCCCTGCTGCGTTGAGGAATTCTGTAGACAGTTATATATGGCTTCCTGCACATAATTACTTATATACCATCAGGCAGCCCCAAAACAAAGCTTCCCTGCACCCTGCAGTTATGCCGGACTTGATCCTGCAATAGTCATGTCATATTGAACGTGCGAAACTCAAGCCACTAGCATTGTTGAGGGGGTTGAACATGGTGGCCATTGAACAGACTTGGTTTCGGAGCCACTATATAAGACATGTATGTGTGTCGTGTGAATGGATGGTCTTCACAAAAGAACGCAGCCATTGCGCCAGGTTTTCTTGAGACCCACTCCAACTGAGCACACCAGGATGTATCCGACTGGTCGGGTCTCTGTCGCCAGCTCCATCCACTGGTCGCCGTCGCCGCATCGAAGTCGTTGAGGTACGCCGTTGCATCGAAGGTCGCTCTTCTTCATGAAAAGCGGCAACAAAACTCGGAGTCCAGTTGGACACCCTATACCCGGAGTCTCACTTATAGTACCTCGCAACATGGATCTTGGTGATGACATCTGACGGAGTAGTCGCATGAGGTCATATCCGATAAAATTAGGGTACTTTGGTTACCTCGGAGCTAAGAAGTGATCCCAAGATCTATCCGAGGTTCCTCCACCCCAATGACTCCACTCCACTTCACTCGGTCACTGTGGCCACCCAAGATTCCAATGCTCCTTCGACCGTTCCTCCGCGGGCTTCGAGCGAAGCCCACGACCCTCCACGGGTGTCGCCTTTCCCCATGAGGCGGCTGCAAGGATTGGCGTCATTCCCACCACGAAGCCCGACTGCGTTCCTCGAGGTTGGCCAAGGGTCGTTCAGACTACTCGGATGGGATGTCTAGCAAACAGGAAGGAAAGACATAGAGGAATGGACACGCCGGGCGAACTCGCCCATAAGGCTGCCCACTCTTTGGAGATCTTTGGAGGAATTTGGTTCCTATTTCCGAGGTATAAGTATTCCATCTCCATTAGCCAAACAACATAAACTTCTACCACATATCTATCACAGCAAAAACCAATCTAAATAGCTATAGTTAATTGCAACATAAAAGAAAACACATATCACAATCTACTAAGATGCACAAACAAAAAAGAAAACATCCCAAGGAAGTCTCGCGCAATTCAAAACCCCGGAACTCGTGGCTCGGAACCGCATTGGTCAGTGCGGCAGCAAGTGCCTGTGGATGGAGTATCGGGATCAATACCAGACTCGAGCATCTTCACAAGAGCCTGGCCGCTTGGAAACACCTTCCCGACACGGAAGGGTCGAGTCAAGAAGGGCTTGGGGGACGGCGCTTTTGGCCTCAAATCCAACAGCACTGGACGAGAAGGACCCGAACTCTTCTGCTAAGAACTACTAGCCAAGCCAAAAGGATTCTGTGGCTTCGGATCCCTCTAAGGCCTTGGATCTGGTGCAACTGGCTACACACTGGTGCATGTCCTGTTAAGTGAGTCTGTAAAAAAAAGACAGTCAGTCATGTTTGTTACCTATCTGGATGATATTGTTTGCCGAAAAAAGGATCTGCTGCTTTTTCTTTCAAAAGAACACATCTTATATATAACAAGTTTCTTGAACTTGTCTGGCCCTGATCTTTCTCGAAGGACCCATTGTTTTTGAGCTGATCAAGATCCTCAAGCACCGGCCAGGTGCCTGTCTGTCCCTGGGGGATTTAAAGAACGCCGGATCCAGTCGAACCATTCCCTGCGGCGATCCGTCAGTCCGTTGTTTGCCAAACGTCAGTCATGATCAGTCGAAAGCCTGGTTGTGCGCCCCCAGGCTCAAGGGTCAGGACCCCGGTTTCTTTTAAAGAGACTTTATTTAAAAGGGATCACTTGTTCTGACCTGGCGATTCACAAACCTTCCAAAGGGATGAAAACAAGTCAACAAATCACATACAATAATATAGTTTAAAACATCTTCAGTGTAAATTTATGAGCCACCCAGCCACCAAGAACGAAGAAAACTAGACTGTGCCTCTGACATTAGAATAAACAAACGAGTGTTGGACGAAACCAAAGTTACAGTCCATGATCCCCCAGCCTGTTGTCACCTGCAAATCCAGCATTATGAGATATATTGAGATATTATGAGACTGAACACTGCCCCACAAGTGACCGAACGTCAGACCTACATGCTTACTGTCTGGCCTTTTTTTCCCCAGGCAATCGACCTGGGGGTGGCTTATATAGTGGAACAATGTCCGGTCAAGCCATGTCAAGCCTGGGTCACCTGGACTGGTGGAACATTGTGTACTTGATTAGATCACGCCCCCAATATGGAAATGTACCCTCCGGAAAACTCGCACCCCTGACGTGCTGGCTCCATGGAAGATTCTCTTCCTCGAGTTGCACGGTAAAAATGGGATCGTCTGGAGAGACGGGGTAGAACATGGTAAAACATATTGGTAAAACCATTCTGGTAAAAGCAATTCCATGTTGGTCTATGTTCGTCACCATTAGTCTGATGGTCTCGGGGTCTTCCAGGGGTTGGCTCTATCGCTCGCTCCTCGTGGCCAGGTGAATAGCCGTCCTTGTAGCATGCGAGGATGGCCTGGCTCCGGACTCGTGTCGGGCTCGGGAGAGAAGCAAAGCACGGAAATAGAACAGTTGGGTAAGGACCTAGAGAGGGTTACCAACAAGGTTTTCTAGGGGTCGGGTTATATTAAAGCCACACCAAAAAACACACACACACATGGACATCTATATAGAGGGAGATGGAGATAGAGGGAGTTCCATGGTTGACAGGATGTTTCTGGTATATCCCCCGGACTCTCAAAGAATCGAGCGTTGTCCGGACTCCGTTTGAATGAGGAAAGGATCCAACATCAGAACCATGGCAAAGCATGGCAAGGAAACGCCATCGACATCATGCACTAGAAAAAACACAAAATAAAACATATATAATCAATGGCCTATTCTGATTTATTCTGAAAGAAAGGGAGTACAGCGTGAAAGGGGGTTAGAGATCCTGCTGATGGTTTTTGGTCATCTGCACATTGGTCAGGGGACATCTTCCCCAGCAACCACAGCCGCCCGCGACTGATCGCGCTCCATCGCGCGGGCCTGGTCCGAGTGCCGGCGGATCTTCTTGGTGGCCTCCGCACGCTTCAAATGCATCTCGAAGTCTGTCCTCGGCTGGAGCTGAGAAGGAATGGTGGAAAATGATGGAAGGATGGACAATCTCGAACATGATGGACAAGTATGTAGCTTTGGTGGTGTCTGAGATTCAACTGATCGAGTTGTCTGTAACTCAAGCTAATCAAGCTAATCCCGTATCAAGCTAATCCCCTGAGCCATCAACAGTTCAGAGCAAAAACTTGTTCTTGATGATTCTTGATATCTACGTACTGGCTGGTCAGTAAAGCTGTAGAACCACACAGACTTGAAAGTTCTGGACCCGGACTCGTTGCAAGTCAGTGCAAATCAGTCTGAATCATGGGTCGTTTCGCGTGCAAACGGTGACCCAAATGGTATTCCCTGAGTCTTCACACATTCATGGGATGATAATGTTTACAGTAATGGAAAAAACATGTAATGGGGATGATGTTTACAGTAATGGGGATGATGATGATGATGCTGCTGCTGCTGCTGCTGCTGCCGATGCTGATGCTGATGCTGATGCTGATGCTGCTGATGCTGATGCTGATGCTGATGCTGATGCTGATGATGATGATGATGATGATGATGATGATGATGATGATGATGATGATGATGATGATGATGATGATGATGATGATGATGATGATGATG